ATTTCAAAATATGAAATTTAGGTCCCCGACCAGTAGACCTTAAATTGGACTCCCAAGGGACACCTGGGTGGCTCAGTTGGTTAAGCATCCAATTCTTGGTTTCAGCTCAGGTTATGATCTTGCAGTCCTGGGATCAAGCCCTGCATTGGGCTCTGCACTCAGCATGGTGTCTGCTTCAGATTCTCTCTCTCTCTCCCTCCCACTCACTCTTTTTCTCTCTCAAATAAATATCTTTTAAAAAAATAAAAAATAAATTAGACTCCCAAGAAATCTATAAGGAAGATAACCTCTCAGAACCTGATGATCCTGCTTCTACAGGGCAGTCTCCCTGTAATTTCAAAGGAAATTGATTTTTGCAAATTTCAGAGTTTCTGATGATTAAAGGAGGGCTGTTTTAACCCAAAGTCCCTGAACCCAGAAAAAAACAAAATTGGGAGCTTATTCTGAATCACTAGTAAGTGACCTTAGCTTTTTAATAGGCTTACTGCAATAAAGACGTGAGCTGTAGCCTCCTTAGGCACTGCAAAACAGGAAGTCTATGAAATCTGGTAAAGGTTACAGACCAAGTCAGATGGATCTAAAAGACATTTGCAAACCAATTCTCTCCCTACACACATTAAAAGAATCTTGCATTATATCTACAGCACATCAAAATGCTGCATATCATAATCTCCTCTGCTTTTCAATCAACTGTCTTTATCTGATAGCAGATAAAGGGAAGAAATTCAGAAATGACATATGGAAGGAATTATCTGTTGATCTAGGTTTAAAATACCACCATCCTCTAAAGAGTCCAACATTCTTAAATAGATCCACTATTTGGCAACTGAGCCCCCACTTTCATCATGCAACAACCATTTAGGAGTATCTCCTCCGTGCCAAGTAATATACTAGACACTCAGTTTATAAACAGAAGTGAGATCGTTACTGACTTTAAGCAGGAATCCAGAAGGAGCATGCTGGGGGAGGAATAATGACATGTAAACAAACAAACCCAAACATGTACCGAAAAGAAAAAGACCTTCCAGGGAACCCAAAATTCAGATTAAAGTTTTCAACCTCAAGTAGAATTTTTGGGTAATTTCCCTACTTCAAAACTTTAAGCCTTGAACCCTGAAGTCTATAACTTTTAACAGAGACCTGAAAGACAAGGTATCTTAAGAGGAGGCTAAACTGAACCTCCAGAGTTATTTTGCCCAAACTCTAAGCCCTAAGACAGGGTTCTCTAGGTTCTCTGTAATTTCCTACCTTCTTCTTCTCTGGTAGTCAGTGGATTAAAATCATCCTGAATTTCCTACTTTTGATAATAATAATCTTTGATTCCCTTTTTTTTGAACCCCAACATAATAATAGCCAATATCTGTTTTCAGTTTTACAGTTTATAAAATATTTTCAGATGCTTAGCATATCATTTGCTCCTCACCATGGAATGTTACTGCCTTCATTTTATGGGTGGGAAAACTGGGGCTCCAAAAGGCTAAATAATTTCCATAATTTCCACAAATTAAACAGTTAAAATTGGAGGAGAACTGTGACCTTGGTCTCAATGGCCAGATCCAAGTCTTTTGTTACACAGTACCAAGTCCTACTGATTTCAGTCACAGCAGCTCTACCTTCTTTCCCTCCTTTTCTACCTTCTGTCTCTATTATAATAGCCTTGTAATCAGTGTCCCCCTAGTTCCAACAGAGTGAGTCTTAATCGCTTGGTAACATGGACCAATTTGAGTCATTTCAGAAGCATGTATGCAAAGACTTTTCATATAATTTGAAGCTCATTCAGAGATCCCTGGATTAATAATTTTGCTTTACCTCCTCAGATTTATCCTGTATATCTCCAAATGACTCACCTCCTAAAACTCTTAGATCACATTTCAAGGCTCAAAAAACTTTAGTGGTTTCCCATCACTTAGTGAATGAAACAAATTCACTATCCTGGCATTCCAGGCCTTTCCTGATTCTCTACTGTAAGTCCACTACCAGAACTCTAGATCACTATCTTAACTAATAACTGCCACTGTTCAAATATGTCTCATGTTTTTTCACCACTATGCTCTCAACATTAGACATTATCCACCTTCAGAACCTCTACCAATATACGAATCCAACCTCTGAGCTTGAACACACTTCATAACAGAACTTACTCTTCCTCCCACATACAGCCCATTCCATCTTTGAATGGTCCTAGTGTTAAAGAAATAAAAAATAAACAACTCTTTATGTTAAAAAGAAAATTATCTTTTCTCCCATTAACATCTGTGGTACCTGAAGCAAGAGGTAACACATCTAATCCAATTCCACACAACGTCCCCTGTCTGTTTGCCTTCCCTGGTGTACCACGTCATTTTTTTCATGATGCGGCACCCAGAACTGAGCACAGTTCTCTCTGACAGTGACAATGCTTTTGCCTCTGACAACAGCTTGAGCACAGAGTAGCAAGGCGCATCGCTGCTGTCTTGCCCCTTTCTGTCAGTGCTGCCCACGACTGATTAACTCTGTGGGCAACTCTATTTTACCCACCAGGAAAGTGGATCTTTTTTTTTTTTAAAGATTTTATTCATTTATTTGTCAGAGAGAGAGCACAAGCAGTGGGGGCGGAAGGCAGAGGGAGAAGCAGACTCCCCGCTGAGCAGGGAGCCCAATGCGGGGCTCGATCCCAGGACCCTGGATCGTGACCTGAGCTGAAGGCAGATACTTAACCAACAGAGCCACCCAGGCGTCCCTATGTGGGTCTTAACCATTAGTGTTCACAAGAATCATCAGAGATGCTTGATAAAAATGCCAACTTCTGAGGCCTGGCTCCAAAGATTCAGTAGATCTGGAGTAGAGGCCCAGGAATCTGGATTTTTAACAAGCTGAATGTATCTAATATTGTGGTAGAAAGACCACACTTTAAAAATGGTGCCCTGAGCTGCCTGTGTGGCTCAGTCAGTTAAGTGGTTAAGTGTCTAACTCTTGGTTTCAGCTCAGGTCATGATCCCAAGGTCGTGGGATCGAGCCCCACACCTCAGACTCTGCACTTGGCATACAACATAGTTGTGATAAATCACTGCATAAAGAATATAATGTTCAGTAAGAAGAGCTGGTAAACTAACTATCCATGAAAGTATAAAGTTAGGTTCCTTTTTCATACCATACATACAAAAAAACTGTAAACAGATTAAAAACCTAAACATGACAGGCAAAATTGTAAATATTCTTAGTGAAAAACTAAGATAAAAGAAAAGAAAAAAAAAAGGAAAAACTAAATTTCTTCATCATGTAGGGCGAGGAAAGTATTTTTTAAATAAAATATAAAATTTTTTTTATCAAACTTAAAAAACTGACACACCTAAACATATTAAAATTAAAATATCTTTATAAGAAAAAGATCTTAAACAAGTGACAGGACATACCCCTGATTGAGAAAAGGTATTTGTAACACATAACAACATAGACTATGTACACAGAACAAATTTTTTAAATCAATTACAAAAAGACAATCCAACAGAAAATAAGCAAAGGATATAAACAAAGAATTCATGAAAGAGGAAGACACTAATCAGGGAAATGGAATTAAAAAGAAATCCAAAAAGTCTAAGACTGGCAAAAATTATGACTATTGATAGTATCAAGTTGAGGTAGGGATTTGAGTAAAGAGGGACTTACACTTTGCCAAGATATAAACGGATACAATTACTTTAGAAAGGAAATTAGTAGGGCCAAGTGAAATTGAAATGTACCATACTCTAGCTAAATGCTCCCACATATATGTACCCAATGAGACATAGAATGGATATGTACTACCGCATTGTTTTTTCATAGTGAGAGAATGGAAACCACCTAACTCTCCATTAGTAGGGGAATAAATAAGCTGTGATGTACTCTTTCAATAGGAGTTAAGATTCACATGGCGGTTAAAGTGAACAAAATCTATATGGATAAATTACAAATATACAGTGAAGCCTTATGATATCACATAAGGAAAAATATAGAACAAATTTTTGCTTGTTAGAATTTCTCAGTGACATGTTACACATTTTATGTAAGACTTTTTATTATGACCATTTTCAAGTATATAATATAGTGAGACTCCTGTACTCATCACCTTGCTTCATTAATTATCAGTATTTTGCCAAGGATTGGTATACATTTTGAAATACCAAAGTTCATGCTGAGGAAATGGCCATGAGCCAGGCCCACAAAAGAGCACAGGACAAGAAAAAAGGAGACCCAGGTTCTAGTGCAGGCACCGCTCCCATGAGCAGTGTGACTGTGGCACACTGATTTTCTCTGTGTGGCCTCCCCTCTGAACTGCGAAGACTTCGATTGGACTGATAAGATGGGACATGAGGAAATAATCAGGATGCAACCTGACTTTCTAGAAGGTGCAAATAGAGAAATTTAAAATGCACAAAAGGCACAAAACACCAGGAAGACCCAAAAAATCAAAAACAATAAAAATTGCACTCCCTATTCTTAGTGTTTATAACTAGATAATCTGAGGTCTCTTCTAGGTCTACTGGGATGTGATTTCACCCTCAAGATATGTTCTTTTTTTAAAAAAAAGATTTTATTTATTTATTTGACACAGAGAGAGCACAAGCAAGGGGAGAAGGAGAAACATGATCCCTGCTCCGCTGAGCAGAGAGCCCAATGCGGGGTTCAATCCCAGGACCCTGAGATCATGACCTGAGCCAAAGGCAGACACTTAATGGACTGAGCCACCCAGGCGCCCCTCTTCAGATATGTTCTTGAGGGAAGCACTAACATAGCTGCCTCCCCTCCCCAAACACATCTTCTCTGCTCCCTAGAGTTTGCTTTAATACCGCAGTAGCTTCCTGAGGGCTCTCTTTGCTCCTTCCGTTACCTCCCCCACTTCCACTGTGCCCTTGGCATAGATAAGGAAGACTGGTAGCCTGGCTCTGTCACCCCAAGTTTCCAGTAGGCTACAGAGAAGGAAGGGATCAGAAGAACTGGCAAGTAAGAGCCCAATTGATTCGTCTGGAAAGGTGGACACGTACCTCTTGAAGCAGTGTGCTGCTGTAAGGACCCAGCAGCTACTCAGGAGCGTGGCCCCACAAAGGAGCCTGCCATCTCCATGGGATGACTTTAGCCGGAGGGACACTTGCCAAGGCCAACCACCCCTAAGAAGAAAGTAAGCACTGAAGTCCATATAAGGTAGAAAAAGCAAAGAAAAGCATCCATTAAAACAATGACTCGGAAGGCTTGCAGTTGGGAGAAAAGCAATATAAAAGGGACCCTCGGATGTAAAAATCCCTTCCTACTTTGAAAATGGTGCTCCTAGAACTCTGAGCAGGTCACATTGAAGATTTGCTCATAGGTATCTGTATGCATCCCACCTATCTCTGACATTCATGGAATCAAGTTGAGTCTTTTTTATACTTCATTGTTTGAAGCATATTTTCTCTCCCCACTACCTCACCTAGGCAGCCCAAAGAAGTATTTAATAAAGTGCTGATTTTCCATGAGTAAATGCAACAAATAAAAAAAATTATATTAAGAGTCTAGTCTAAAACAAATATATTCTAAATTAAACGAATTTTGTAGTTATATACTTTTTCAGACCTCCTGTTAAATTAGTTCCTGCCACATAACTTTTCAGCAACATATCTATCTTATAAATCAGAAGGTAGCAATCTAAGAACATTTTAAATTTAATAATGTGAAATTTTCCGTGTTATCTGTATTTAATTTAGAAAATTAAATAAGTAAAATAAATCCCTTACATAATAGTAGAAAAACCCCAATTTGTAACACTGTATGTATATAAGTAATTTTGTAATATGGAAAATCTCCTCTGAAGGACCCTTTACCTTAAAGAATTTTTCCCACCAATGATCCGCTTCTGCCGACGGTGCAGTAATCTCAAGCCACAAACAGACGAGAGGGATTCTGAAGCAGACAGAGGTTATTAATCAAACTACCACATTGCTCATAGGGGGGTAAAGACACATGTGACACATTCTCCTGCTGCTTAGTTCTCTATTCCAAAATGTTTCTCTCCTCAAATTATAGGATACTTTTTCTTATAATAAAAATTAAAAGTCTTCTCAATTAACCAAGAATTCACAAGCAGATCAGGAACTTGAGGAAGTTTCCCATACTCAGCTTGGACCCTGCCCAGTACATCATCCTATAGGTACCTACATCTCCTCCTCTGCTGATTTCAGAGACTGTTTTGGAGTCCAGGAATGTTAAAGCAAGAGAACTGCAAAGGCGATACTGGTCTAAATTACTTGCTTTTCATACACAATATTGCCAAGCCATGTCTACAAAAATGTAACTTAAAGGAGCAAAGCATATTCCCAGAATAGGATTCTGATCTAAATTCACATTTACATTTACTCATATAGCATATTAATTTATGGAAAGGGTTTACTAAGCAGTCTAAGAGGCATTTAAGGGAATACAGTCAAACTTCCCAAGATAACAGACTCGATCAAGAGCATAAAAAAAGAATTAAATTATATGAAAAAGTGGTGTACAAAAGAAAGTAAAAGTATGACTATTTCAAAAATAATTTTAGAAAGGAGGAGGATGTCTATAGGAGTATTTTGGTTCCTTGGTTAAGTATATGTTATAAAGTATTGATAGATACTGTTTTTCTATCTGTGTAAGAAGAGAAGGCTGGGAATTGCACCAAGACCACGAAAATCTAGTCAACACTAATATTCTCCCATTATATTCAGGTAGAAGGGAGCTCAATAGGGAATCAGCACTAGTTATTTCTTCAGAGAGAAAGAGGTTCAACAATGCGTATACCAAGATCATTAATTTGCCAAATGATCTCAGAGGCATGCTGTCTAACTTTAATTCTCATCTCTTAGGATATGAGTCCTCTAGATGACACAGCAAATTATAAGATATTAGAAAAACATAAGTTTCAAATAATGCTCTGAGTCAGGTCAATATATATAACACCAAGATAAAGAATGATGCAATTAATATTGAGCAAGCAAAACTGAAAGTTTACATCATCCTGGGGCAAGGCACCAGGTTGCAAAAATGTAAAATCTATTTAAAGCTTAAAATCCACTGTTCCAAAAAAAAAAATTAGAAAGCAAAATGAAGTTCATTTATAAAAGGATCCCATCAAATGACCAATAACCAATGGCTTGAGTTTGAATCCCCTTATAGAAGTCACTAGGGAGGTGCGTTCTTAACAAACTTACATTTGTTAAGCAGGGGACTCTTGATTTTGGCTCAGGTCATGACCACAGTCATGAGATGGAGACCCGAATTGGGCTCCACACTCAGCGCAAAGTCTGCTTGTCCCTCTCCCTCCCCCACTTGTGCTCTCTCTCTAAAATATATAAATAAAATCTTTAAAAAAAAGAAAAACAAAAAGAAGTCACTAGGTCTTGAACCTCAATACAAAATCAATAGGTTAATAAGCCAGATTCAGTAATCCAGCTGGTCTAAGACAAAATCCTTTTATTTGAGGTATGGTAGCATTGGAACCATGGAAAGGTATCAAGTAAGTGTTGCTACAACTCCAGGAATTTATAAAAATAAATGTATAAATAATGAAATAAATACAGTATTTCATACTTTAAAGTAGATTTACCTAGGAATATAGTAAAAACATTGTACAATTATTGAATTTTTATGTTTTTCTACTGCTTCAGAAATTTGACATAATACAAAGAATTATATATTCAATTTTTAACTGTAGTTTAAATTATTGAAGGGAATTTAATAAGTTATAATTAATATATATAAGTATACTATTTATAATATTAAATATATAATATGATTTGATTAAGCTGAGAAGCTCCTCAGACAGTGAAGAATCATATTAACAGCATCCAATTTATTTTTGCATTGTCTTTAGCAACTAAAAGATGTCAGCAAATGAGAATGCTCAAATATAGACACCTAATTTTCAGAAAGTCCAGTGCATCAAAACTATGAACTTTCAACACACATAAAGAGGTGATTTTTCTTTTCATAAAATGTAACCATAGTTTTCTATAAAATAGCTACTTTTTTATTCACTTAAAACAGTAGTTGTTTCATAAAAGTTACTCCCAGCTTTCAAGAACCTTTCTAAGTATAAAACATCTATTACTGTATTATACTAGAAGATTATTTCTCATTTTCCTTAATGTTTTTAAATTTCAGAAAATAAACTCTACAAAAGATAATTTTCTTTTTGCAATTACTTTTAAATTTATCCTGGTTGTTTAAAATATTATTAAGAGTGGAAGTTCCTTTCTGTGATTCATCTTTACATTTTCATTTCTTGGGGAGCACCTGGGTGGCGCAGTCAGTCAAGCCTCTCACTCTGGATTTCAGTTCAGGTCATGATCTCAGGGTGGTTAGGATCGAGCCCGACATTGGTCTCCACACTGAGCATGGAGCCTGCTTGAGATTCTCTCTCTCCCTCTGCCTCTCCCCACCCTCCCCCCCTTTAAAAAAATTCATTTTTTTTTCTTTTTATGAAGTAAATGTCAATTCTAAGTCTTCAAGGAAACCAACAAGTTTGACAGTTTTATTACATCCAGAGAAAGAATGGTACAGAAACGGCTGAGAATGTCAAAAGGGCATGATGCCAAATCCTATAAATCCACTCCTGCCCCTGAACTCTGCTGCCCATGTAAGCCCCATCCAGTCAAGTTTGTCAGGAATCACTGCCTCTAAACACGAACACAGATTATATAGAGTCTTATGGAAGGAGATTTTTGTCATCAAAGTACTGCTTATACTAATGAAGTGAAAATTACTCTTTGACTTGTTTAGGCCCTAGTAGATGACTTACCTTTGTTACTGTTACCTGCTGCCTTCTTGCTAAAATAATCACAAATGACTCCTGCATCTTCGCTGTGGCGACAGTTATGTCTCCCAATATCTTGTTTGATGCAGTCAGCCAGGGACCTCTCGTTTCCTGTGCACTTCACATTGTCCACGTGGATGGGTCCTTTTCCTTCCCCAAAATAAGCCATGGTTCTTGCTCTGGCAGGGCCCCTGGGAACAGAGCATTTTTGAGGATGTGGAGAACCAGACGATCATACATTTGAATACATCACGACAGTCTCATTCGATTAACTCTTAAATATTAAAATTTGCATCTATGTGTGCTAAAAAATATTTACTTCATGACTCTGTCAGAAAAAAAGCTTAAAAGGGGTAATAACTGGGCGCCTGGGTGGCTCAGTTGGTTAAGCGACTGCCTTCGGCTCAGGTCATGATCCTGGAGTCCCGGGATCGAGTCCCACATCGGGCTTCCTGCTCAGCGGGGAGTCTGCTTCTCCCTCTGACCCTCTTCCCTCTCGTGCTTTCTATCTCTCATTCTCTCTCTCTCTGAAATAAATAAATAAAATCTTTAAAAAAAAAAAGGGGGTAAGAACTATACCTTCTCTGCCTTCCTACCCCAGAGCTTCCTTATTGCATCATTTAGTTTGCCTCTCATTTAGCTTCTGCTGAGAAAGTTACATTTAATGGCATGTCAGAAATTCATGATAGTCTTAAACTCTAGTTTAAGCAGGAAAAAAAATCATCTCAAAGTGTATAGAGCATAACACTCTTTTAAAGTTGGTTAAAACTGCCAAGAAAATTATGAGGTTAAATAATAGCTTAGGGAGCTAAAAATTTCAAAGCCTACATTAGAAGTAAAAAAAGTCTAATTTTTAAGAAAGAAAGACAAAACCTGGGATCACAAATAGAAGGAAGACTTATTTTGGTATGTTAGTTTTTTGTTGTTTGCTTTTAATTACACAGTACTTCTTTTTAAATATCCAAATACAAAAGCTTTTTTAATGAAGTATTTCAAACTAATGGTCATATTCAAAACTCAATTCCTGATAAATTAATGGCAAAGTTTTAAGTTCTGAATTATAGGGAAATTATCCTTATAACCTCAAGTTAGGGAAAGACTTATTTAACAAGACATAGATGATGTACTTTGAAATTAAAGGACTAATAAACTCAATAAGAATTAAGAACACTACTTCACTAAAAAACCACCCTAAGGAAAGGTAAAAGATAAAAGGTTGATGCATATATTTGTAATACATACTTATAAATATATTTTTTGGTGAATACATCCAATAGAGGGGACTATAATACAAAAAAAAAAAGAATTCTCAAAATTCATTAAATTTTTTTTTAAAAAAACATAACAACCCAAGAGAAAAACAGGCAAAAGACAGGTTTCAAATTAAAAGAAACTGATTCATTAAAAATGACAATTTGGACCAGATTTCTCACATCAAAATATATTCTACTTAACTAAGATAAAGTTATTATACTTTCCTTACACTTATGCAGGAACTCTAGCAAAGTCATTTATTGATATGAATTCTCTGAGAAATTCATTTGACCCCCTTCAGTGATGAGACCTGGCCTCACATGCTTATGGTTGGCAGCTCATTTACTGAAAAACTGGTACAGCTAACTAGTAACTGCTACTCTGAAATAAATTGCAAATAAAAATAAGATGTAACCCATTATAAATTTTTACAGTCATGGAAGACCCCTGTGCCCAAACAGATGACTCTTAACGGTACTCTTAGAGTAAATCTTTTTTAATATGAAACCTATTTATTATTTATAGAAGTAATAAATGCTTATTGTATCAAATTTACAAAATAAAAGTATAAAAATACTTTTTTATACTCAACAACACACTGCTAGCATTTGGGCGTATTCCCTTCCTGTACATATTTATGGGGAAAATACTAACTATAATTTTTACTGGTTAAAAAAAATTCATTATACACATTAGTGGATCTCAAATTTCAGAGTACTTAAAAGGCCGCTTGGGTTGATTCTGAGTTGAGTATGTCACCAGCGGGACTTAGCAATCTATTTTTTTAATAAGCCCTACGTGATTCCTATTCAGGAGGTTCTGCATCAAACTTTAACATAGGGGTTCCTGGGTGGCTCAGTCCAGTAAGTGCCTGACTCTCGACTTCAGCTCACGATCTCAGGGTCCTGAGATCGAGCCCTGCCTCAGGCTCTGCACTCAGCACGGAGTGCTTGAGATTCTCTCTCCCTCTGCCTCTGCAGCAGCCCCCACCGCCCCACACACGCACGCTCGCGTGCTCACTCGCTCGCTCTCAAAATAAAATCTCCTTAAAAGAAAAACTGTAACATAGAAAAATTAGCGTTTTCTTCCCTACTGCTGCACATTTACTTTTAAAATTCAAGACTTTTTACAATTATAGATATACACTTAAATACAAGTCTTTGTGGATAGCTTAGATTTCTTTCCAGAAGCAGAATTTTTGTTCAGCAGGTATAAACTTTTTTTTAAGGTTCTGGCTATATATTACCAAATACAGGGCAAGTCTTTGGAAAGCAAATACATATAATTAAAATGTGATTATTTAAAGAACAGAGTTTTTTCTGTTTTATTTTGTGTATCATTTTTCTGTCTGGAATTTTTTCCGTTTAGTGTTAGTAAAGGATCTAGCTTGATTTTTGTCCCTAAGTTCATTGTCCTAGTAACCTTTCCTATTGATTTGAAAGGCTTTTTAATTTAATTATTTATCATAATTACATGTACATAAGCCATTTCTTGGTTCCCAACCTTGGCAACACATTTAAATTACCTTTGGAAGCTTTTAAAATATAGCAAAACCTGAACCCACCTAACGTCAATTAAAGTAGAATCCACAGGAATGGGGCTGGGCATGGGTGATATTTTTTTTTTTTAACTCTCAGCGTTATTTTAATTGTACAACCGAGGTTGCTGACCACTGGTGCAATTAGTGTCATTGACTTCTTGCCTGTTCCTGTGTCAATACCACACGGATGTGATTTCAGATGAACCCAGAAATCAAGTCTCTCCCCCCACCACCCCCCCAAATACACGAAGAAAAATAAAAGATTTTTATGAGGCCAGCATTTAATGGATAGATTAATTTCTATTTTGTTTTCCCATTCAGCACTGTGGTGTTTTATTTATTAGCTCTTCTACTTTTAGTAAAGATTTACTTTTTTTCACATAGGTCTCAATTCTTGTGATTATTCCTAGTCATTTCTTTGTTTGGTTTGTTTGTTTGTTTTTGTACCATCTAAATGATATTTTTTTCTTTTTCTTTTTTACCTAGTATAGGAGCTATCACCTTTTAAACATATTTATATTTACGTGACTACATTAATCAACACTAGTTCTAGTGTCTTTCCCATTGATTCTCTTGTGTTATTGAGGTGGAATATCTTATTATCCATGTAACAATTCTGACTTCCTTTGCAATACTGATAGCTCAATGCTTAATGATAGTGGGATCTTCAGACAGTACTGAGTCAATGCAGTAATAGCAGGCACTCTTGTTTTGTTCCTGTTTGATGACTGTGATATAAAGCTAAGGTATTCCAAGCTTCCTAATAGATATAAGGAAGGAATGATGATTTTTAAAATATAACTTTACACCATTACTAACTGATCATATTTATTTTCATTTATAGATGACACATGGGAATACATTAATTGAATACCTCACTATGAACCATTCTTTTATTCTTGCAATAGACTTCCATTTGTTTAAATTTGCTTAAATACATCATTCGATTAAATTTGCTAATATTTTATTTAAATTTTTGTATGTAGCTTCATTAGACGGGGTATAGTTTTCTGTGTGTGTGTGTGTGTGTGTACTTAGACTGTCTAGTCTTGAAATCAATTTATATTAGCCTCATTAAATGAATGAAAAGATTTTCATCTTTTTCTCACTCTGCAACAATTTATATAACTTGGGACTTATCTGAATTGAAGATTGGTCAAAACTCTTCAGCAAAAAAATCAGTCATTTCTTCCATGATCATTAATCTTTTTGAAAGGTTTTCTATCAATTTTCATAATTTTATTTTTGTTGAAAATGTGGTTTCCCAGATAACTGTTCATTTCATCTAGATTTCCAAATTTATTAACTAAAAATAATTCACAGTACTCTTCTACAATTTTTTTAACTTTTGTGTATCTGTGCTCATATTCTTTTTCTTTCCTCCAATGTTTATTTGTATTCTCTCTCCTTTTTCTGAGTCACAATTGCCACAGATTGCTTATTTTAGTAATCATTTTTTTAAAAGATTTTATTTATTTATTTTTTTGAGAAAGAGCATGGGCAAGGGAAGAGGCAGAGGGAGAGTGAGAAGCAGACTGCCCGCTGAGCAGGGAGCCTGACATGGGACTGGATCCCAGACCCTGAGATCATGACCTGAGCCCAAGGTAGATGCCTAACAAACTGAGCCACCCAGGCACCCCTTTAGTAATCATTTTTAAAAATAGCAATAATTGCTGATAATATGGATGTGTAATGTAATGCAATTTGAAATTCAAATAGGCATAATTCAAAGAAAATAAAAAATAACATTCTGAAGTTAAAATCCCAGGTGATTCCCATGAGTTTGGGAAGTGAGGATGAGTGGAGGTAAAAAGTAAAAAATAGTATGCTAAATGTTTTGATATTTTTCAGCAAGGCAAACTTACAGATAATAATTTTTGAAATTGGTAAGAAAATATGCCAGTATGTTTGCTAAAAATTTAAAGACAACTTCTAGTAAAACAATAAGAATGCTGAATGTCCAACCACTAGAGAAAGAATGACAATAGAAAATTGGGTTGCTTGCAAATAAAAAAACAGAAGGTTACACAAAGAACAGACAAAAAAGCATGATAAATACCACTGAAGTAGATGACAGGTAGAAGTAAACATAGAAAACAAAATCAGACTCGTTAAATAAAACAACGGATGATTTCTTAGAAATTTATCAATTTACACACTAAAAGAATGTACCATTTTAGATACATCGACAGACAGAAATTAGAGAACATTTAAACTAATAAAAGTGCATGATTAAATACACTCTCAACAATATAGTGGAGTCTAAAAAAATTTCCTGTGACTTTTTTTTAACAGTTAAGGACTGTGTCATCTTTAGAAAAAGGGGAAGAGACTTCCCACTGGGCTATAGGCATGCAGTAATTCACAGCAGACAATTTCAAAGACACAATAGACTCCAGTACACTAGTTAGTCTTTAAACTGGCTGTTAAGTGCTCCTGGGAGTAGAGGATGACTTTCTCAGGGCTATATGGGCTTTAAAGGAATCGGTATTCAGATCCTCAAATTACATGTATATTCTCGCCTAAAACTGGTCTTGCTGAAATCAAAATCAACTTCTCTTTCAAAATTTTCCTTCTCCTACTACACAAAAGAAAGACGTATTTTTCACTCATCCCAAATCCTACCACGATGCATTGCCTCAAGTGGACAAAAGAACAGTTCAAAATATATGATAGCAATGAAGCCTCCTTTAACCAAGCGCCATAAACCCAACCCATCAATCTAAGTTAGAAATGGGAGCTTTAGTCAGCTTTTATTTCCTATATTTAATAATTATTTCTCAAATTTCTGTTTTTGTTGTCTTTAATCAGTTGTGTACTAGAAATCATAAAATCCAGAGAGGAACCTGTCAGAAGGATTAATTTCTCTCTTGCTCTCTCCATGTGTGTCCACCTACATACACATACACACACACTTACTTAACTGTGTGTGTGTGTGTATATATATATATATAATATATATTATATATGTATATAGCCATATACACACATTTTTTAAAGCATAATAACATTAGGATTCTGTGAAGGAAAATTTTAAATACAATTTCAAGGAGAAAAAGGAACTATATAAAATTTCTGAAGGTCAAAGAAAAGCTCATTCCTGTATTTTTTTTTTAAGATTTTATTTATTTATTTGACAGAGAGAGACACAGCACAAGAGGGAACACAAGCAGGGGGAGTGGGAGAGGGAGAAGCAGGCTTCCAGCGGAGCAGGGAGCCCAATGCGGGGCTCGATCCCAGGACCCTGGGATCATGACCCGAGCCGAAGGCAGACGCCTAACGACTGAGCCACCCAGGCGCCTCTCCTGTACTTTTTAAATAGATGACAGAGAGCATCAAGCCACTATGATACTGATATTCCTTTGCATTATAATTAAGAGTGATATAACTGTTCTATTTTTAAATGTCATACACAAATATGCCAGAAATTAAATCCCTTTGCATCAATTTAATTATAAGATAAAAACTAGATATACTTAATTTTAGGTCTCTAATAACTCAGTAGGAACACACTGTTTTGTAGATTATTTTAAGGGATACTACAATAAATATGCAGTTCAAGAACAATGCCATCTTGAAAGCTAATGGATTCAAACAAAGTTCAAATAGAATGGAATTTCCATCACAGTTATTTAGTCTACCTTAACAAGTGTAACTGATAGCAACACATTCTCTCTCAACCCTCTAAAAATAATATGCTCCTATGCTAGGCTTTGTCAGATATTATGTAACATGTAATACATAATTAAATAATGCCTTTTACCTTCTGTTTACTCTAAGCATATCTACATTAGTTACCATTCATGTTTCCTGGTTTCTATTACTTCATTTTTGTTTCTCCCATTGTGGAAATGCTTTCTAATGATACTTTGATTCTCCGTATTTCCAAGGATGAAGGCTCACATATAATATAGCTGACTGGGGGACAGATCTCTGGAACTCCTATTAATAAGACCCAAACCTGTTGATAGCTTAAAAATTTTCTGGATTGGTTTCTACAAACAAATGCCTTATTAAAGATTTTTAACAATTCAAAGTAGACCTAGGGGAAAAACATCTACTCTAGTCACATACTTGTTTACAATTATATATATGTTCTTATATGAAATCTATTTCCACTAGTGGGAAATTATAAAAACATTTAAATATGTTTAGATTGAACAAATATCCAAATGGTTCTCATGTAAATATTTTTAGATGGTAAATTAACAGACTGTGCACTAGAAGATGATTATCCAATTTGTTATAACATTAAATTACTGATTTACTTATTAAGAGACTTTTTTTTAAGATTTTATTTATTTATTTGTCAGAGAGAGCACAAGCAGAGGGAGAAGCAGGCCTCCCGCGGAGCAGGGAGCCTGATGTGGGGCTCGATCCCAGGACCCTGAGATCATGACCTGAGCCGAAGGCAGACGCTTAATGACTGAGCTACCCAGAAGCCCCTAAAGATATATTTTAAAATCCAAACCAATATAAGTAACTATTACGAGCTCGTCAATTTATGCACTTTCGTTTAAATTGCATAACCTCTAAACTGTAACATGTTCCGTATATTTGCAGCTGCCAAATCAATACTCACAGTGTTTTCACAGTCATTTGCAGACATGTCAAAGCCTCAAAAAATGTGCATTGCCCAGTTGAGGTCTCACAAGAAGACAATCTGCTTATTTATTTCATCTCTCAAATTGAAACAAGTGTCCTTTTCCCAGTCTGTTTAGTGCCATGTTTTTCCACACTGTAACTCGTGCCTCAGTGAAGCCTATCTACCACCTTTATTTTCTCCAGAAAGCACATCACAGCCTTCTTGCACTTAGGAATGCTGGATAGCACTTGAGCACTGTGTGTCGCTGGCATTTTAAATAGTGAAATCATCAATTTTTTTTTAAGCCGAAAAATTAAAAAAAAAAGATACTAACAGACCAAAATGTTCAACTGTTTGCAAGTTTGAAAGCTAACACAAGAAGGCAAAGCATCTCCTTGTTCAACTTTAACTGTAGAAGCAATGGCTCAGTATTTGCTAATACAGTGATCACTGCGACTTTAGAGAGTGTAACTACTGTGAATAAGGAGAACCAACCCCAATTTCAGTAATTCCAGAGTCTCTTAAAAAGGCTACAGTGTTGAAACCTAAATCACAGAGAAAAGGTTACCATCTTTGCCTGATACAAGCAGTATTATGAATAGTCAAGAGTTATTAGACCATTTGCTATTAGATAAAAGCTCCTTTTTTTTTTTTTTTTTTGAGTAAGCTCTAGGCCCAACATGGGGCTTGAATTGGGGACCCTGAGATCAGGAGTTGCATGCTTCCCAATTGAGCCAGCCACGTGCCCCAAAAGCTATATTTCTTATCTAACAGTGTATATTGCTTTTGGGAAAAGAGAAAAATTTAAGTGGACTCTCCTTAGTATTTCTTAATAATTTGGAATCAAGTCAGCATGCTGCCAGTTATTTCCAATTGATTAATAGAAATTATCTTTAGGTAAGAAATAATTCATTAGAACAAACCTAAAAAGTCAGAAATGCTCATCAAGTAACCATCCCAAATAATTCGGTTTTTCTTACTTGTAGCCAAGCTGACGACAGATCACAGCTGCATCCTTATCAGTCCAGCCGTCATCACAAATGGTTCCCCACTGGCCACTGATGAACACTTCCACTCGTCCTTCCTTCTTATTTTCTCCATCCATCAGTCTGATAGGAAAACCTAAGTCATGATTCAAAAGTATTAGAAAAGCCAAAACAGAAAACTGATGTTAAAGTATGAGACACTTTATAAAATACAGTTCATTTTTGTATCAACTATAAAATCAGCTGGGTAATACGAGAGAGTGAGAGAGAAGAGGTATTAATAAAAAACTGTATCACTTTTGCGATATCTTTTGAAGCCTTGGGATCAGAGTACTCACTTGCTCAACTATGAATTCCCAGCACTTGGAACAGTGCCTCACATACAGAGGACATGCAGTAGCTGTTTGATGAATGAATGAATGAATGATGAATGAATGATTAGCACTGCAAAATTGTGAATGGTCTTATTTTATTACCATTAACTTCCAAATAGTAAAAGATATTTCCTTAGAGTTGTTTTTGTTTCACATCTGCTCATTTATCCTTGAACATAGCTAGAAATTAATACTCCAAAGCTGAGATTTTTAGGAAGACATAAATACATATATATATATACGCTTGGCATTCATGGGTAACTTGAATGTGTAGGGGAAAGAAAAGAAAGGAAGGCAGCTAACAAGGACAATTTACATTTCAGCCTTCCTATTTACTCCAAAAGAAGGGCTTAAGGCATAAAAATTACTAAGATTGGGCACCTGGGTGGCTCAGTTGGTTAAGCGACTGCCTTCGGCTCAGGTCATGATCCTGGAGTCCCAGGATCGAGTCCCACATCGGGCTCCCTGCTCAGTAGGGAGTCTGCTTCTCCCTCTGACCCTCTCCCCTCTCATGCTCTCTCTCATTCTCTCTCTCAAATGAATAAATAAAAAAATCTTTAAAAAAAAAACATAAAAAAAAATTACTAAGATTACAAAGAGATGCTATGTACAATATGGTGAATATAGTTAATAATACTATATTTCATATCTGAAAGTTGCTGAGAGTAGATCTTAAAAGTTTCCAACACAAGAAAAAAATTTTTTCTATGTAATTTTATGTAAGGTGATGGGTGTTAATCACACTTATTGTGGTGATCATTTCACAATATATACAAGTATCGAATCATGTTGTACACCTGAAACTAATATTATGTTATATGTTCATTATACCTCAATTTTTTTAAATGCTGAAGCTAAAAAATAAAAATAATAAAAATTTTTTAAAATGTCATTTTTTTTTAAAAATTTGAGAAACTGATCTCTTTCAAACTGAGGTTTATCTAAGTTATGCAAATGAAGTCATTTGTAGAATTTCACATATCTCTATCAACACCAATAAATATGGTACTATTTAACTGAAAGCACTCGCTGCACCCTGCACACTGTCCTGTGAGGTCATTAGGGTAGGCCCTAATCCACTATGACTGATGTCCTTATAAAAAGGGACGATTTGGACACTGAGGTACACAGAGGGAAGACTGTGAAGAGGCACAGGGAGAAGCCAGCCATCTATAAGACAAGGAGAGGGGCGCCTGGGTGGCTCAGTCGTTAAGCGTCTGCCTTCGGCTCAGGTCATGATCTCAGGGTCCTAGGATGGAGCCCCATGTCGGGCTCCCTGCTCGGCGGGAAGCCTGCTTCTCCCTCTCCCATTTCCCCTGCTTGTGTTCCCTCTCTCACTGTGTCTCCCTGTCAAATGAATAAATAAAATCTTTAAAAAAATAAATAAATAAGACAAGGAGAGAGGCCTAGAACAGACCCTTCCCTCGTAGCCCTCAGAAGGAACCAAACCTGATGGCCCCTTGGTTTTGGACTCCAGAAATGTAAGACAACATATACCTGTTGTTAAGCCATCCACTATGTGGTGCTTTGTTACAGCAGCCTAAGCAAAAACTAATACCCTTCAGATTACGTAGTTATTAGAAGGGTCTCCAGCTTCAGGGCCCCTGAGATTTACTGATAAGGATTTAGGGAAGACCATGAAGCAAGCTGAAATCAGCAGAACTAAGGAGGTGAAGTAAGCAGCTAAAGAACAAAATATCATTTCTGTTCAAACCAACATATGAAATTACTAGATTGGCATTTGTTTACTGACAGAAAATACTACTGGCAACATGGACATGTCCTACTTTGATTCTTCTGATCCATTTTTATACTTTTCCATCCTTCTTTGTTATCCCCCGAGTTGTTGGCTCTTTAATTTCTGTCCCTGTCATACTGACTTTGTGGGGCAGGCATCATAGTAGAATCAATAAAGCAAAGTCAAAATCAACAGATGTTTATGGAGTGCCTACTCTATGTACTGCTTACATTAGCTAAAAAACTTGGGGTTTTAGCCATGGCACAAAACACAGTATACTTGAAACTTTACATTTCTTATTAATATATCTGAAAGTTTGGAGTTTTTTTTAAAAGGAATAATGTAGAAAAGTGATCCTCAAACTTAAAAACCCAAAAAAAGGTGAAATTCTTTTCTTAAAGTTCTTAATTTTTACATTTTTGGATGTTTGGTCCAAAATTAAGAAAACATGTGCACATGGAATGAGAGCTCCACATTCCATTCTAGGCATTTTATGGGCAGTTTTTCATATACCATAAAATAAAAATGATAAAGTGTTTTTAAAGCCTCAGTTGCATGCTTTGTATAAATAATGCATGCAGTATTTCTAAACCTAATTTTAGCCCTTCATTTTACAAAATCGTTGGATTTTCAATGCTTGAAGGGAAAATTGGATGACAATATAGGATGATATTCTATTAACACCACCTTACTGTTTAAGTTCTTTTTGTTATGGTAGCAATAATATACATGTTTTATTTCTAAAATCTTAAATATAAAATGCTTGGGAAACTAAATAGTACTATGAGTTTATAGTATCTTAAATTATATATAATTTAATTATATATTTCAAACTTGGACCTCGAGTGTTATTTTAATTTTCCTGTAACATTGATTTAATACATTATTCTAGAAAATAATATTTTTCTAGAAGATAAAATTTAGCTTAAGGTAAAGTCAAAATTTTATACTGTAAAATTGGGTAAAAGACCATCTCCCTGCGAATGAAATCTCTCTAGGATTTAATACTCTGAAATTTAGAATTGGTGCAATATTGGGGCACCTGGCTGGCTCATTCGGAAGAGCGTGCAACTCTTGATCTGGGGGTCATGAGTTCGAGCCCCATGTTGGGTGTAGAGATAAAAAAAAGCAATTAGTGCAATATTAAAATGTGAAATCCACACACTTACCATCCCACAAATTTCCCCCAATTCACATAGGTATTAACTGCATTCTTACTAGAATTACTTTTATTGAATTAGAATATTGCTTTTGAGCATTCCATTTACCACACACCCAAATATAAAAAGTGTCTATTGAACAATTATTAATTTTGAGGACTTCAATTCACATCTAAAGTTAAGGTCCACAAATTACCTTTCAAATACTTAAAAACAGTAATAGTCCAATAGCTCATTACTACAGTGCCAAAGAAGTAAAAAATCAATTGTTTTTAAAATGCTGTTTTTTATATTACTATTCCATGATTTCCTTCTCTAAGCTTCTGTTTTAAATATGCACTTTAAATATGCACTGTTTTAAAAATCCCACTTTTTGATAAGTGGGAAAGTAATGATCTCTTTGGATGAATCAGTGGTAATATGATTCTATTCCAAAAGTATATCTGGCTCAGACATAACGTTCTTCGGACAAATGAATAGTTAATAGACGTATTACTGAAATTAGGACCAAAGACACTTATAATAACGATCACATGTTTTATTAATAATCATCCTCAGCTTTTTAAATTTTTAAAATATATTATCTAGAATCCTAGAATTAAAGATTTGCAGGGGAACTGGAAAAATTAGCTGCCTGACCATATGCACACATTTAACCACACAGGCCTTCAGAGAGCTCCGATTATAATATTTTGTATAGTATTTAGAGTACTGATCATCACCCGGAGTACTGATGCAGTGTGCCTGAGCAGATCACTTCATGATCCAAATACCTGCTATCTGGGGCCGAGGGTTTCCATGTCTAGCAAACAGGTTCTATCTCCCCCAGCCACATACAGTCCACATAATCCTGGGAGGATCAGAAATCCCCCAGAAGAAGAAAGGAACAAAAAAGGAGGACAAATGAAAAGCAAAATTGAAAGTATGACCTGTAAGGAGTGGAGTAAAATGTTGTATTTCTACTTGGTACAATGCTAGATTAGTGCAGTGAGTCACTATGATCTCACAGGTTAGAGTACAATGAGGAATCAATTTAAGTATACAATACAGTTAATACTGTGGGATTCAACAAGTTTTGTTATTTTATAATGTGAAGATTAAAGCTTCACAGTCTCAAAACAGGATGATACAAAAGGGGTTGATACAACTCTGAGGGTGAAAAGTAAAGACCACTTGTGATTATTTTAACATCTATTCACCAAAAAAACTATGTGTTTAGATATATAATGGAGCTGTGGTAGTCTTGGCAAGTCTTTTTAATATCTCCCTCTATATTTTTCATTCATAATTATTCTGCCATCCTCAAAAGATGTTAAGATGTTAACAACAGTCAGATGTTAAGTCGGTCAAGGACATGTAGTTGCTCTCTGCTCACAAAAGGACCTTTACCCACAAATATTTCCAGACTGTTAGATGAGCTAGTTACCTTTTATCTGACTACAAATCTAACGAAATTTGGAATGGGGGAATAGTAAAGGACACAGATGGGTTTCTAGAGTAACAGGGTATCTTAGAAAGACGAATGGGTTATTTACTCCAATAAATCCTTTTAGGAGCCCACTGAGAAACCTGAAAGATCTAGCTTAGTACAGAGCAATAAAGGCTGGTGACCAATGACTGACAAGGCCTTGGGACTAAAGAAGAAATAAATGATGGGGGATAGGAGAGAGAGAGCTATTGTTTTGTTGCAATTTGTGAAAATCCTGTCCCAAACTAGTCATTAGAATTCAAGGTGAATGAGAATCAGAACAGGTGACCAAGGAGGGGAGGAATGGACACTGTAGCATCTTTATTCCACCTTTCAGATACATGTAATTATAAAGATTTTTAGTGAGAAACTTAGGCTTCTAGGTAAAGAACAATAACCTGAGGAATAGAAATTTTATAACATTGGTGGAAAGACTGAAAAGTTTATTTAGAGCATTATAGAAAATTAACCAAAAAAAAAAAGCCAAGGCTAAGAAATGCTTCCCATTCCAGACCAGTGGATAGAGGTGCAGTGGCTACTGAATTATGGATACTCCAATCCTCACCCAGAGATAGTCTGTATCCGTTGCCACCAGGGTAGCAGGTGATACCAACGTCTTCCCGATGGCTGCAGTCATGCCTTCCCCACTGCCTCCGGGAGCACTGAACGAAACTGGATTCCTTTCCCGAGCAGCTGACGTCATCCAACCATATGGGCCCTGTGCTTTCTTCAAAGTGGTTTGCAGGGGATTGTTTGCCGTATCTGTGGCAATAAAATGAACATCATGCACAGAACTGCTGTCTCTTGTTCCAAGGAACCACAAATCATAAAACAAACAACCTAATTAAACATCATGACTCCAGAGGATAAGTGTTTCTTCTTTCTCTTATCTGAAAGACACAGTCCCAGGGCGCCTGGGTGGCTCAGTCGGTTAAGCGTCTGCCTTAGGCTCAGGTCATGATCTCAGGGTCCTGGGATCCAGCCCTGCATTGAGCACCCTGCTCAGCGGGAAGCCTGCTGCTCCCTCTCCCTCTGCCCCTCCCCCCGCTCGTTCTCTCTTTCTCTCTCTCAAATAAATAAATCTAAAAAATATAAATAAAACTCTGAAGGACCTGTGTTCACCCCATCACACATTTCGATCATCTTAACAATTTTCGATTGATTCAACAGGTACCTAACGGATAATTAATCCTTTTTCCCCATTCATTCTTGTGTTTTGGCTACAATTTAACTCACCAACCAGAGAGAATTCCTGATAATGGAAATAACACCATGAACCATAAAATTAGAACAGTTGTCTTGTACCGGCCTCTCAAGAGCCACCTGAGCTCATCTGATTTCATCAGCTTCTCTAGACCTCTTTGGTATCATCCCTTCCAAAATAAAAACTGTATATTAGTTCAGTGAGACCTCAAGCACTACACCCAATCCATGATGAGACTTGGATTTCAGCCCACTAAAATCAGAATAATGGTGATGCTCTTCGCTTTTCACAAGGTTACATAAATCTGATTTTTAAAATTTTTATAAATTATATTTGAGTTCTAATTGACTTTATTTCTAACAATGCTCTACAAAAAAATATAATTAATATATACATTGTGGAAATAGGAAAGATCTGCAAAATAAAAAGTTGGTAACTAAGTCACAGTCTGTACTTTCATTCATGCTTCCCCCAATTTTGTTTTTTTTTCTGTAAAACCCAAACCTCCAGAAATCACTAAGCAAAAAATTATTTAAGGTGTCTTTCAGTTCTAAGAGTCTAAGTAATTAAACTCTTACTCATAAAATTTTATATCATTCACTTCCTTCACTGAATGTTTTTATTATTTCTGTATAAAGAATATGAAGATATCTTTCTTTCTGGCATGAATTTTCCCAGTTACTTTCCTGTGCACTTATTTATTACATTTATCTAAGAAAATGAACATTTTAATAAATTAAAACAGTACAACTTTTAATTATTCTAAGATTTCCATTTTGCTGACTAATCAAATCTTAGCAAGAAAAAAATTATCCTAAACCTCATATTGCTACCACTTTGAACTTACACCACTTTTCTACAAAATGCATCAATCTGATTACTCTCTGTCCATATCAACTATATAACAGATAACAAGAGGTCATTTTACTTTGGGATTTCATTTGTAAAAAGAAACCCAGAGTTCACCCCTTCCTCAGTTCAAAACGGTACTGTTGTAGAAATTCCTCTGTAAACCAAAAAGTAAATGTGGCCCATGCCTATTCTACCTTCTAACACAATCATTTAGAACTTTTAACAAATATTAGTGAGAACATTTTTTAGAACCATTAAGTTCTGATACTCTGTATATACAAGAAAAACTGAATATATTTGTGAAACAAAATCAGTAAAATATGGAGAAAAACTATCACTCCATTGTTTTTATTAATAAAGAAATTATGAATATAGTAACTAATAGTATTTATGAATCTTTCTAAATCTGTGAAAACGGAATACAGTTCTCAGGCCTAACAGATTCACTGAAAGATGAAATAGCATTTATTAAGTAATTCTTCTTAATTAAATATTAGTATCTCTTTGGCTGGCATGTCACACCCCTTGACACAATAATTATAACTGCACTGCCCACGAAAATCCAAAATATTAGGCAATAATATGTATTTATATCTTCATGATATCATTGTTTATAACAGGAAAAATTAAACTAACCTAAATATTAAGTAAATTATGGTATGAACATTCAATGGACATTATGTTGTCTTTAAAAATTATGACTATAGGGGCGCCTGGGTGGCTCAGTCGTTCAGTGTCTGCCTTGGGCTCAGGTCATGATCCCAGGGTCCTGGGATCGAGCCCCACATCGGGCTCCCTGCTCCACGGGAAGCCTGCTTCTCCCTCTCCCACTCCCCCTGCTTGTGTTCCCTCTCTCACTCTGTCTCTCTCTCTGTCAAATAAATAAATAAAATCTTAAAAAGAAAATTATGACTGTAGTAATATAAAGGTAAGAAATATGGATAGAAAAAGTACATACTCACTATTAAAGCTGTTACTAAATTATACACACAAGGTATAATAATAATAGTATAAGAATGGGAAAATTATGGACAGTTCTTAATTTTTATTTTCCAAACTCTAATATTTTATACTACTTTTACAAATTTAAAAATATGTTTAAACATGATCATACCTAGCTTGGATGAAAGTATAGTTTTAAGGTTTAGTGGTTATTTGCAATTAGTTCTATCTCAAGCATGGAATAATTTTGCCAATTTTTTCAAGCTTGAGACAATTAATTCAAGCAGAGAAATATGAAAAACAAGAAAGAATGGGCATTCATGGGCTTCATTCAAATAGTAGCTAAAAGGCATCATTTGCGGTTACTTCAACCAACAGAGGTCTTTACTCTGGAATGCAGTATGTGTGTTACACGAAAATACACGGCCCAAAGTGTGATACGAGCTTTTACGAGTCAGGTCAAGGGTGAGTTCGAAAGGTCATCTCATGACAAGAAGGCCGTTTTTCTCAAGTAAAAGTGATAATTATCATCACATCTGAGAAAGGGAATAATGTAATACCAAAGCATTTGACACTGGACTTCCCTGCAATTTTAGACACAATGATGTCAGAACTAACAACATCTAATAGAAGTGATGCGTCAGAATAAGACGAGCATTCAAAGCATACGGTCTTACTTGAATAGACACAAAGAAACCTAAAAGTCATCCCCGGGCTCTAACCAATTACTCAAGAAGAAGGGTGGTGACAGGAAAGGTAATGAGATAAATAACAAGATACGGATATTCATCATCATAGAAAATGTTATTTTTTTTATTGGGGTTTTTTTGTTCTTCCATATATAGAGAGGTGAATAGGTAGGTAGGTAGACAGAGGTACACAGATGACAGAGAACATGTATTGTTAGTATTATAGAAATTACAAGTAAGGGTTACAAAGGAGAATTTTAAAAATATAATTTGGCATTTAGCTGCCTCATATCAACGGGCCTTACTTAAATCCCAGCTGTCGGCAAACCACATATGTATTCAGCTCAGTCCAGCCATCATCACAGACAGTCCCCCACTGTCCCCGGTGATACACCTCCAGGCGGCCCTCATGGCCGCCTTTACCACCTCCAAGTCTGATGACCCCATCTGTGGTAAGAAGGAGACACAGGGACTAAGCAAATCAATGATTGAAAACAGGGAAAACAACATTTTAACTTCACTAGAATTATCACCCCTTCAGGTCTCTCTCTAGGCTTTTTGTTAAACTTATTTTGGGACAGTTCTCAATGATCTGAGGTCATTGGATTGTTTCTGAAGTATGACATAACACATATCTGTCCTAACAAACTATTATTTTCTTCTTATTTGTGCTCCTATTTCCTGAGTCGAAAAATGTATTCTGATATAATTCCAAAGTAGTTATTTAGATTTCTCCAGATTAAACAAATATTTGGGAAATTTCTTATAGCTTCAATCTTGGTAAGTATGAGAAATACTAGTCATTTACATTTAAAAAATAAGAAAACAGCAATTTGGAAATAGTTCAAAATTTTAACTGCAAATGAAAAAATACTGAAATACAAAGACAGAAAAAACTATTCTGGTTAAAGTGTGATCTATCATGTCAATGCACTTATTATTACTTAGGCATTCATAAATTGTAAAAGCTAGAGTACATGTCTCACTTTTGTTCTTTTATTGATAATACAGATCTGAATTTGAAGCTTATGAGTTCAATGAATAATTAATTCCCATAGAACCCTGTTAAGAGCTTCTAAGCAGATATACAATAAATTTATCCCCCAACAAGTGGACTGAAAAGCCTTTCCCATGCAAAATAATACAAACATCCCCAAATGAAACATATAAATAATCCTGGGTAAAGGTCTTACTTTCATGATTCTCTGGGATCTTTAAAGTAAATGGTCTCTTAGCAACACAATCACTTCTTAATGTAAGACTTTATAGTCTGCAAAACCCTGGTACACATTTTACCTCATTTGACCATCACAGTAACAGTACAAGACTTTACTCATTTGAAAGAGGAGGAAATGGAGACCCAAGAAGATGATGTGCTCTGGTTTAAAATCTGGCATAAATTTTATATTTCTATTGTATATAAACGTGTTATTCTGCTAATAATAAAAACAACATCATGTATAGAACTATGTAAATAAAAAGGTATAACTTCGGCATTTCATGGGCCCTCTGAAGTTTTTATTTTGATTTTTTAAGGAGAGATTAAAACCCCCAACTTTTTTCTTTAAGTTCTTTTTACCATAGAAACAATGCGTTTGTGATGACCTGACTTCTCGTCTGCCCTTTTCCCTCTTCTTCCCACAAAACATATAAGTACATACACACACACTCATTTGTACTCAGACATGCCCTTCTTATAACATATGAGACATATCCGGACAAGCGTGCTACAAATTGGAATAGTCAGAGAATTGACCACAGCCAAGTTAACTTGGTTCCTTTACTAGTGTGCTTTAACCAACAATCCCATCAATACAGTTTCACTAGCTATAAACACATTCTGAGAGTCAAGGCAGGTCAATAAATAAATGGACTTAAGTATATACCTAATAATGTGAAATTTATCATTGCACACTGATTTTGATTATTGGGCACTATATATTACAAAAAAATTATATGTTCTAAAACATATTTATATGTTTTAACATTTTTTATGTTATAAAAAAAGTGAAAAATTCAGAAATATTTATGAACAAAGACATACCATGTTGATATACAATTTGTGTCAGTTGTTTGGTTTTTGTTTTTTGTGAGTTGTTTTGTTTTTAGTTTTATTTGCAAGATTTACTGGCATGCTCACTTAGTTATATTACCTAAACTGAGGAGAAGAGAAGGTAAGCCCAGATGGTGCTGGGGGCAAGGGTTGGTAGATTAATGGGGTGAAACTCCTACCTGTTAGAGGGGTACAGGACACTCCAGCATCTTCTTTATGGTCACAGTTATGCTCTCCCCAGGAACTCTTTGGACATTGCTCAATAGAAAGCTCATTCCCAGTGCAGCGTACCTCATCCAACATTATTGGCCCAGAGCCTTCCCCAAAATACGCCTGATTCCATGCTTTGGCAATGCCACTGAACAAAGATAAGAATTCTGGATTAGACACCAAAAATTCATCTGACATAATTTCTTTTGCCCCAGGAAACGTATAACTATGATTAATCCATACTTCCCCTGACCAATTCACGCCACAGGTTCATACGTGACTTGCTGTACTCCTTTCTTGTTCCTTTGTTTGTTGCTCTTTCTATTTTTGGCCATCACAAATGTTTTAGACTGCAAGTTACCCCCCAATACTCACTCTCCTTTTCTTTGTTAGTAACGGAAACTCAGATTTTTAGGAGGGCAATGGCTATCCTGAGTAAAGGCCCCATTTTCCAGCCTCTTCTCCTTCCAGATGACTAAGTTTGTTTGTTTTAAAATATACATTACAAAAAATTTACCATTGTAACCATTTTTAAGTGTACAGTTCAGTGGCACTAAGGACCTCCTCATTATTGCGCATCACCACCACCCATCTCCAGAACTCTTTAGTCATCCCGAACTGAAACTCTGTACCCATTTGAGAGGACTAAGTTTTGAACACAGATACTTAGGTAGAAGTGTTGTAGTGTATCACTTCCAGGAAGTATCCTTGTCCTACATCCTCCTGCCTGCTGACTGCAAGGCAGAGGTGATGGCCAGAGCTTGAGAAGCTATAGTAGTCCACGAGGTGCCATACTAAGAATGAGAGAACGACAAGCAAGAAAAAGCCTGGGCCCTGATGATTGTGGAACCACTAGACTAGCCTGGAGCTGGCTACCTCTGGTCTCTTGAGAGACAAATAAACTCTCATCTTATTTAAGCCACTGTTACTTCCAGTTCTCTGTCACTCAGAGCCAAACATATTTCTAACTAAAACATCTCTCCACTCAAATTTATGTGTACTAAATTTACTTCGCCCACAATTCAAAGTGAGCCCACATTCTAGAACCCCAGATTTCAGTGAAGAAGATCACAATTGACTGTCAAAATAATTAATAACTTCAGAAATTGCCATGTCGACCCCTTTTAGCCTTTTAATTTTTAGAGTAGAGCATTCATATTTTTGGTTTGTTTTACAATGATGCTCCCCATTCAATATTCAAAATATTCCCCATTATTTTAGTTGCCTTTTTTTCATAACTTTATAACTACCTTGAGAATTTACAACCAAAATATATCGAAGGGAAAAAAAAGTTTGCTAAATGATTATAATACTCCAGCGATGGCCAAGTCTTGGATAATCAACTTCCTGGTTAAAGAAGAACTTGTTTGACTAATTTTACTAGATACTATAGAAGTTTCTTTTAAGAGAACACATGTCTAAAACAAATCCCAAAACATTTGAAAGTTAAACCCTTTAACCATTAAAGCAAATACTTGTTCCATTATCACCTGACCCACTTTCTGTTTAAAATTCAGAGTTTGCACGAGAAAGGATAAAAGAATGTTTATAGGAGGAGGTGTGAAGCAGGGAGGAAAAGAAAAGAGAATAGCTTATGCAGGATATTTTGTTGGAGTTAAAATTGTTAAATTCAGAATCCTCACACTTGAATCACTATCTGATATCTGTCATACAGGGAACTCTGAGAAGTCTGCCCTAACAAATATTAAGGATTAGTATCTAGTGCTAATCAGACAAATGTGAAAGAAAACAATATCCTAATACAGATGATATTATCAAATAATTTTGTGAGTGAATTTGTTTTACTAGGGGAAACATGACAGAACAAAAAGCCATTTCCACTCTTCCAGAAAGAAGGAATCAATGCTCAATAATAGGATTTTTTAAATGAAGTTTCCAGTTGTTTCAATGTGTATCTGTGTCCCCACAGAAGAGTGTAATGGACATATATAAGTATTCATATATTACTGATCATGTCAAAAAGCTTATTCTTTCCAAGCAGAATCTTTGAGGAAGAATAGTAGATGTGGAAACAGGCCCTCGGGCTCAAATCTGGGCTCCATCTTTAACAAGTGAAACTGCCCTGGGGAAGTTACAAAAACCTTCCAGGCATAAAATGTTTCTTTTGAGCATAGGGATGATAACCACTCCCTTGCAGGGTTGTAAGAATTAAATGGATGCAAAGTAACCCTCCTGGCACTATCAAGCGCTTCCCCCTCACAGCTGATGAACGGCATATTTTTCACTGCTAAGCAATTGATCTAAAAACCATTTGGTATTTAGTTTAAACAACACAGTTTTTGTTCTCCCCGCTCCCCAAGTCAGGGGGATGGTGGGAAAGGGAGAATCAATGAAAAATCTCAACATTTTCTGGATTTAAGGTTGTAAATGTGTTTTATTCATTTATTTATTTTAAAATCAGTTTTAAAAGAATATACTTATGGGAGTAATTTGTAGCCTATAAGATAGCGGACAAATCTGTATTGTTTTTTATTAAGGATTACAAGATGATGGCCCAAAAGATCATTAAGCTATGACTTACATCACTCAACTTGGTATTCCCGTGGTAGGGACACAGATCCTCAGAGGCCAGCAATTTCAAGCGTTTTAGTGCACACAGGCATTTTATCAAAAACAACTGTAAGAGCCAAAACAATTTTTTTTTCTAAAGACAGCATATATGCTCCCAGAAAAATATATTCTATACCAAAATGATCTTGCAATGGTAGTCTATAAGGCTGTGAATAAATTATCCTGTTTTAAGTTGCCCCTAGTAGAATAAATATCCCCTTCCAGAAGACAATATTTTCATACAACATTCAGACTAAACTGAACAGGGGAACAGTGTGATACCCACTGGAAATAAAACTTTCAAGTCATGTATCGACTGTGACTTAGTCCCGGAATTTGGAAGCCTGAATAACTGAACTGTACTGTGCTATTTTACTAAGTTTGGTTCAAACAAGAAGGGAAGTGCTTGGAGTTGCGTTCCTGAGACCTGCTGCACCTTTGTGAAAAGGGAAAATCCAGGATGGGAGCAAAGAAGCCCTTGCTGGCAGCTCCTGAGCAGAGATCAGCGAACTACAGCCCAAGGGATAAATTCAGCATACCACCTGTTCTTATATGGTCCGTGCACTATGAGGGGCTTTTACATTTTATAAATGGTAGGGAAAAGAAATCAAATCAAGAATGTAATTTTTGACATGGGAAAATCCTATGAAATTCAAATTTCACTGTCCAGAAATAAGGTTTGATTGGAACAAAGCCTCACTTATTCCCAACTTAGTGTTTGTGGCTGCTTTTGCACCACAAAGGCACAGCTGAGTAGTTGCAAAGTCCAAAGTACTTACTATCTGGCCCTTCACAGAAAAAGTTTGGTGACCCTTGCTCTAAAGGAAAGAGATTCAAGAAAGCAAATATGGAAGCTGATTTAGAGAACACTGAAAGTTGCAGAACAGATGAGGGGGAGACAGGGTGACCAATGCAGGTCATGGAGAAGCCAGGAAGGAAAGCTTTGGAGGAAGGCCAATTAACAGCCTTCTTGGATCTTTGCCCTGGGATAAATGCCAGGAAAGAAAAAGACCCTACGGAAGAACATTTCAGTGGGTACAATTCACTGAGCCAGGATTAGGTGGTATAAGGAATACGGAAGAAGATAAAATTTGATCCCAAACTCATAAGAGAAACAAAAAGGAAATTCCAGATGGTTTAAAGATCTAAATATTGAAAGAAAGAAAGAAAGAAAGAAAGAGAAGGAAGGAAAGAAAGAAAGAGAGGGAGAGAGAGAAAGAAGGAAGGAAGGAAGAAAGGGAGGGTGAGGATGGGAAGAAGGGAGGGCTAAGAAGTATTGGAATAAAATAAAGAACATAGTATAAGAATAACACCACCTTGGGACAAAGAGGACTTCCTGAGTAAGATAAGAAACCCAGAAGTCAGAAAAACTGAAAAAGTTTAATTTAACCACATATAAATTTAAACTACTGTATAGCAAACTACACCATAATCAGAGTCAAAAGGCAACCAACAGGCAGGAAGAAATATTTGTAATATGTAGCAGCAATCAAAGAAGAAAAAACTCCTAGAAATTAATAATAATAACATTATAATTACATTATAATGAGAGACAAAACAACAAACATTAAAAAAAATAGGGGCATGGAGAAGATGAGGCTATTCACAGAAGAAATATTGATGGACACTGAACATATAAGATGCTAAATGTTACAACAGTCAACAGAGTAAGAATGCATTCTTAGCCAACACATTTTTAGAGATTTAAAAGATTAGTATCATTTTTTTGTACAATATTTAGGTTAAAAATTTACAAACTAAAGGCCAGGCACTGGTCTACCAGGTTTATGTGTATTAACTCATTTAATCCTCCCTACAACCCAATATTATGATCCCCAATTTACAGAAGAGGAAACTGAGGCCCAGACGTTAGATAATTTGCCCAGCGTTACACCATCACTGCTGGTGAAGCTTGTCTGGCCACAGAGCTGACTCTGAAACACTTTGCTATCTTACAGCCTCCTGGGGCATTTTCAGTGGGGTACCTATGGCACCTCAAATACAGTCTATCAGCATTTTCTCCCTACAATGAACTTTTATCTCTTGAATCCTCTATTTCTTTCAGCCCTATATTTGTATTTATTCTTATTAACACCTGGCTATTTTGCAAATAGTATAACATGAAAGAAAAAAAATTCTACACTGGGAACCATAAATCTCAAGATTCTGGTTCTTGGGGCTCCTGTGTGGCTCAGTCGATTAAGCGTCTGACTCTTGATCTCATCTTGATCTCAGATCAGGTCTTGATCTCAGGATTGTGAGTTCAAGCCCCTCACTGGGCTCCATGCTGAGCATGGAGCCTACTTTAAAAAAAAAAAAAAAAAAGGATTTTTGTTCTCACTTAACATATGACTTTAGGGCTTTGGGTAATCTTAGAGGGCCTCATTTCCTCTTCTGTTACACAAGGTCTCCAGGTTGTCTTTATGGTAAAATCTATAAGATACAAAAAAAATTAATGAACAGTAAAATAAAAAAGCAAAGAAGTACTTTTTAAAAGCAATTTGTACCAGATTTTTATTCTGACTACTCAATAAAATGGTTTTGTATGATAATTTTATAGCCAAAAAAAAAAACCTAAGAAAGATGTGTTCACAATTTTTAAATTCCTATGTAAATTATGACATATCCACACAATAAAATATGATGTCATAGTTCTAAACTATGCTTTTAAGAGTTCTGAAGGACATGGGAAATGTTTTCACTTTAACTGCACAAAAGAAACTCCACCTGGAATGCAAGCTGGTGCAGCCACTCTGGAAAACAATATGGAGGTTCCTCAAAAGTTGAAAATAGGTCTACTATACAACCCAGCAATTACACTACTGTTTTTACCCCAAAGATACAAATGTAGGGATCCAAAGGGGTACATGCACCCCGATGTTTATAGCAACAATGTCCACCATAGCCAAACTGTACAAAGAGCCCAGATGTCCATCGATGGATGGATGGATAAAGAAGATGTGGTATATATATACAATGGAATACTACTCGGTCATCAGAAAGGATGAAATCTTACCATTTACATCGACATGGGTGGAACTGGAGGGTATTATGCTGAGTGAAATAAGTCAATCAGAGAAAGACAAATATCATATGGTTTCACTCATATGAGGAATATAAGAAACAGCCTACAGGATCATAGGGGAAGGGAGGGAAAAACGGAATGGGAAGAAATCAGAGAGGGAGACAAACCATGAGAGACTCTTAACTGTAGGAAACAAACTGAGGTTGGGGTAAGGGGAGGGGAGGGGAGGAAGGTGGGGGGATGGGGTAACTGGGTGATGGGTATTAAGGAGGGCACGTGTTGTGATGAGCACTGGGTGTTCTATGAAACTGATGAGTCACTGAACTCTACATCTGAAACTAGTGATGTTCTATATGTTGGCTAATTGAATTTAAATAAATAAAAATAAATAAATAAAAACAAATGTCTTCACCTGAAACTTCGCTGTGTACACACACATTCTCAAGACAATTTCCTAATATCTGGCTGCCTCCTTTCCTGTTCCTAATCTTTCTCCAAGTTCTGGACTACTCAAATTTCAGTATCAAAAGTACAGTGATTTCTTTTGTGTGTAGGAAGCTTTCCAGCTCCCAAACTCTACAGACACCATTAAAAAATGAAAGCCAACAAGACAGCGTCTCCCGAAGAAATTGTAGCCACCCCTCCAGGGAGGCATGATGTAGTTTCCCTTTGGGAATTCAACAAACAAATAAGATGGAGATGACATTTGCTTAAGAAAAAAATCATAAATCGAGACAAGCAACAATTATACTGTTATCAAATATGTGCCCTTAAAAACTATTTCATCCGAAAGTGCCGTGCCACTAAATAAGCAAACAAATTGTAAAGGAGGAACAGTTGCTGAATATTGCTTTAATGCGAACTTAAGAGATAATTGTAAGATCAGATGAAAGAAAGGCAAAACCAAACACTATCAGCTCAGAGCATCAGCGTGCTTACAATAAAAACAAATGTCTACCAAGCTGAATCATCGGTTGTTGCATAGGTTCGTGGAGGATTTTTGCTGCCTTGTATATCTGGAGATATTTTTCCTTTCAATTACTTTTCCAAACATGAATCTCCTCATACAAAAGATGGCAGTAAGTTAATGCTCAAGAAAGATGGAAACACTTCACCCTCGCATGTGTCCAACATCAATATAATCTTCCTGATGATTCCATCTCTGTATCCTTTCTACGTAATAGACTATTGTTTTTCAACATGGTCTTTGTTTAAGAACTGTTTATTTAAGTGAAAGAAATCTTTGGCTCTCAAGAAAGAATTCTACATTACAACATAAATTTCTAGAATCACTTCTGTAACTATAAATATAATCAATATTCACGGTGTATCTCTATGACACTCTAAATTTTCTTTTTTTTTTTAAGATTTTATCTATTTATTTGACAGACAGAGAGAGCACAAGCAGGAGGAGTGACAAGCAGAGGGAGAGGGAGAAACAGGCTCCTCGCTGAGCAGGGAGCCCAACGTGGAACTCGATCCCAGGACCCAGGGATCATGACCTGAGCTGAAGGCAGCCACTTAACCGACTGAGCCACCCAGGCGCCCCGATACTCTAAGTTTTCTATGCATTTTTCTATGCAACAAAACCTGCCTTTTCCCCACAGAAATATATTAATAATAAAAAAATGCCTTATAGCTTAAATTTAGAGTAATCCATACTGCTGCTAGCAATGTTAAATATGCTATTACTCTGCCCTTAAAGTTCTTAATATTTTTGGCAAAGACATAGGTTTCTTAGTAACTAACATGCAAATCAATTAGCACCACCAAATTGATAACCTGGTAAATATACATATACACACACTAGAATGTTTCAAAAAATATGAAATTCATAGATACAGCTAACTAAATAGAACTTCTGGATAGAGAAATAGTGTTGGATAATCTACCACCAAATACTCGGTTTACTTTGACTATTAATAACATCTTTCAACTATAACAGTCCCTAATTTGACTGACCTTGATAGCCAATGTGTATTATATACTTATTATGTGTGCTAACAGCCAACTGTGCTGTTAGACAACAGCCCCTATATGTCAAGAAATATGTTATAGATGAGGGGATTTAAGAGATACTCTGTAACTTTTCTCATCTCCAGAAGTAGAAACCAAATCCAGGTTGTTTTGAGTACAGGGCACATGATGATAATTTTATGCTGTGTGGAATCCAAAAGCAACACCTGGAAATTTGAGGGAAATTGTTATTGAAATTGATATCCCCTCAGAACATTTTGAAAATGTAGTCTCAAAATTAATGTTTAATAACAATTTTCTCAACAAGAACTGGTTGGCCTTATTTCTAACCCACCCAAAGAAAATGATCATACCAGTAAACTTCACACCACTGATAATTATAAGCCCCAGAGACACAGGATTTGCCATGCCAGTCCTATCCTACACATGAACTCTGAAACAGCAATTAAGGCCCAGAATCAGTTACAGGGGAAATGTAACTTGACAGGGAAGGATCAGGCCAATGCCCCTTTTTAACCCAGTGCTCAAGCTTGGCCTCAGCAATGGGAAGACCCCAGTACACATCACCTGTGATGAATCCTGGCCAATATACCTGCTTTGATCTAATCAAGCTTCGGATCTAGGCTCCAGTTTCAGGAATTACAAGAGCCAGAGGAGTAAACGAAATGACACCAGTAGGAAGAAATGAGACAAATACAGAAGGAAAGGACATTCTCCAGAACAACTGTTCTGTCTCTTCCACAAATCAGTGTCATGAATAACAAGAGGCTGTTCTAGATTCAAAGAGATTTCAGGTACACAACATCCAGATGCACTGCATGATCCTGGACTAAATTCTGCTTAAGACAATCCATCTGTCAAGAACATTGTGGGGGCCACTATAGGAAACTGAATGTGATCAGATATTCGAAAATATTAAGAATCATTACCAATGGGGCGCCTGGGTGGCTCAGTCAGTTAAGTACCTGATTTCAGCTCAGGTCATGATCTCAAGGTCGCGAGATCCAGCTCCAAATAGGACTCCACACTGGTGTGAAGTCTGCTTAAGATTCTCTTTCTCTCCCTCTGCCCCTCCCCCACGGTTCGCAAAACCACACTCTCTCTAAAAAAAAAAAAAAAAAAGAATGATTATCAAATATATTAGTTGTGATAATGTTAATTTGGCCATGTAGCACCATGTTCTTATTTTTAAGAGATACGTACTGAAGTATTTAGAGGTAAAATGTTAAAATGTCAATATTTTACTTTAAATTGCTTCAGTATAGAGTTTTGAAAAAGAGGGGGTCAGTTGCAAAAACAGTTCCAAAACAAATGAGTATAAATGGTTTAAGGTTCAAAAATCATGCTTCAGTGTTAAGGATTATGCTTAATTGAAAGGAAGGTGATACATAAACAGAAAATCTTTGATCTAAAGAGGCCTCCCCATCACTACCCACAAAGCGCTAAATGAAGAAATTTACAAATTTAAAGTAAAATATCAACTTTGAAAAGATCCCCTAATTTTATTTTATTTTGTTAAGATTTATTTACTTATTTTAGAGATGGAATCTCAAGCAGACTCCACACTGAGCACAGAGCCCGTTGAGGGTCTCCATCTCACAACCCTGAGATCGTGACCTGAACCAAATCAGGAGTTGGACGCTCAACCGACTGAGCCAGCCAGGCGCCCCAATCCCCTAATATAATTCTAGAGAAACTTTTAGGCTTCTTATACCAATGTTCAGAATCACTAAGCAAAGGGATTAAAAATCCAAAATTACAACATACTATTCCAGAATAATCACAATTCAAGCAACATGGAATGTTGATTTTCATACTGCTGTTTTTATTACACATGCTTCATTTCCACATCCTACGTGGGGATTATTTCCTTTGCACATTAATAAACATCCTCTGTTCTAAGCACATACCTAAAAAATAAGAAAGCAAAGTCAAAAGTTGAGATCATACTTGGGGAGAGAAGCCGAACTTCAGTTAAAGCCTAACAAGGAGTTTCAGCAGATGACTTCAGTAAGTCGCTGCTACTGAAGGTGCTGGTCATTACCTGGGGTAATGTAAATGCGATTAATGAAAAGGAGTAAAAGGCTGAGATTCTCAGGCATATAAAATCAACTGAATTCAGACACAAACAGGTTAGATCTATAGGTACATATAAATTCTCTTCAGGGAGCCTACAGCCTAGTACAAAGATTGCAAGGTGACTTTTTCTATTTGTTTGAGGAAATGTACAATTTAAACACACAGGCACCTACCTCTGGGTATGGAAAGAATGGATTCCACAACTTAAACAAAATGAGAATAAAAACAAACCTCAGGCCCAGCTGCCTGCAGATCACTTCTGCATCCGCTTCATCCCACTGGTCATCACAGACAGTCCCCCACTGACCAGCATGGTAGATTTCCACTCGGCCTTCCCACGCGCTTCTGCCACCCACGAGGCGTATGACAGGGAATGCCGGGCCTGTGCCGTGTGAAATTAGAAACAAATTATACCTATACATTTGCATTGACCGATGAGATTAGATATATTCTATTTATTTGCCATTCTCAGTAATTAAGTCATATTTATTAAGCCACTTCAGGGATTTGGACATACAGACACATCTAATATGTATTATGGTATTCTTGACCAATTAAAATACTCCAAATTGGGGGTGCCTGGCTGGCTCAGTCAGTAGAGCAGGCAACTCTTGATCTCAGGGTTGTGAGTAGTTACAGCCTCACACTGGGGGTAGAGTTTGCTGAATAATAAAAAAAAACTTTTTTAATAAAAATTATTTTAAAAAATATTCCAAATTGAATTACATTCATACAAATAGCTCTTAAGAAGAAGTAGTCTAAATTCACCTTTCCCTCCAACAACCTCAGAAACCAGAAAAGACACACTCAAAACTATAGTTTATTGGAAACACAGTTAATTTTATGGCATTGTAGTGCTGACACTAATTTTTTTTTTAAGATTTTATGTATTTATTTGACAGAGATAGACACAGCGAGAGAGGGAACACAAGCAGGTGGAGTGGGAGAGGGAGAAGCAGGCTTCCTGCTGAGCAGGGAGCCCGATGCGGGGCTCGATCCCAGGACCCTGGGACTATGACCTGAGCTGAAGGCAGACGCTTAACGACTGAGCCACCCAGGCGCCCCGACATTAATTTTTTTTATGTACAGTAACTTGAGCATTGCCAACATGTAATTCTTAAGAATGGCACTTATGTCTGTAACATACTTGTCTTCAGTACAGAAATATTTTTGTATTTGTAGATACCAAGTTAACATCTAACTCATTATAACAAGGTGGTGAACATCAATGCCAATACCTACAAAAAACAAGATGGAGAATTCATTTGAATATGAATTGGTTCGTATTCATTTTCTACGAACTACTGGGGTGCCTGGGTGGCTCAGTCATTAAGCATCTGCCTTCAGCTCAGGTCATGATCCCAGAGTCCTGGGATCCAGCCCTGCATCGGGCTCCCTCCTCATCAGGAAGCCTGCTTCTCCCTCTCCCTCTCCCCCTGCCTGTGTTCCCTCTCTCACTGTGTCTATCTCTGTCAAAAAATGAATAAAATCTTTAAAAAAAAAAAAAAAAGAGTCTACGAACTACCAAAGGCTTCCCATTGCGAATTCCTTATTACGGTCCACAATGCTCTGATCTGATTCTTGTCAGAGTCCTAAACATCCCTCTCTAGCCCTGGCCTCCTTCACCGGGCTATACCTACAACGCCCTCTTCCTTCTGTCCCTAAAACACTCAAGGTTGGTTCCCACCATAGGGTTTGAACACTTCCTGTTCCTTCTGCTTAAAAGAGTTCCCGCAGATCTTCCCCCGGCTGCATCGCTCTCATCATTCAGTTCTCAACTCTGAATTGTCCTTTGTTTTAGGAGGCCTGCCCTGGCCTCCTTAGCTAATGCAGCACCCAAAGGTACTTTCTACTACGTTGCCTTCTGAGTATTTATCGAAAACAGTCATTGATTTATTGGTTTTCGCGTACATTGTCTGCCTCCTAACAGCTGCAACTCGGGACAGAGGACGTGCCTTTCTCTTTCACCTGTTTATCTCAGGTACCCAGCATACAGAAGGCATGTAATAGGTATTTGTTGACTGACTGGAGTGATAATTGATAGCTAAAGTCTAGAAAGAACATCCCAAACAAGAAAAAAATACTTAGCAATATTCATTCACTGGATTCTGTTTAACAGATACTAGGCACCTGCAGGGGCATTCAAATGAGCACTAGACAGACCCTATCCTCAAGAGGTTTGCTACCTAAGGACATGGTCAAAACAGCACAGAGAAGAGATCATCAAGACCCTGTAGGGGTGCAGAAGCAAGGGGGCTTGCTTACCATTGGGGGTAGTCTGGGAACCTCTTCTGAAGAAGCTGGTATCTGAAGAGGGTCAAGGTGACTGGATGGGACTGCAGAACTCAGAGATGGGGTAAGTGCAGTTCAGGCAAAATGAACAGTATGAGCAAATGTACAGAAGCACAGAGTTGAATGTGTTTGGGAAATAGTAAGACAGTGTAATTTTTCTGGAATAAAGGATGTAATATGGTAAAAGGCTCAGAACAGGCTGGGCCCCTATTCAGAAATTTAACTGCAGCTTTTGCCAAATGCTAATTATTTATCCACATGAAATATGCTTCTAATTCCCCCACAGTGTAAGCAGCTGTCAGTAAATGGCATTGGGATATTCATATTTATATTCAAATATCATACTTGAATTTTGCAGCAGAGATTCAGATTAGTGAATATTTATATATACTCATATTCTGATCTTCATAATTTAGCTTATTTACATAAGTCCACTAGTACTTAAAATTTGTAAAAAGAATAAAGATAGTTTTAATAAACGTAAGTGTTCTCAGTATTATATATTAGCTTCTTATAATTAACTGATGGCTGAATGGTGCTAAGAAACTTAAATTTGCATGTTATTATGTTTATTTTTCCTTTAAAAAGCTTGGAAAATATAAAAAAATGGGAAAATGTATTAGTTTCTTAAGTTATTATATTCACCCCTGCCTCTCCTCCCCCTACCACTGTGGTAAGCTTGGAGAACACAGAAAAAAAAAATTTAAAGATTTTATTTATTTACTTGACACAGAGAGAGAGAGAGCACAAGCAGGGGGAGCTGCAGAGGGAGAGGGAGAAGCAGACTTCCCACTGAGCAGGGAGCCCGACATGGGGGTCAACCCCAGGACCCTGGGATCATGACCCGAGCTGAAGGCAGACGCTTAACTGACTGGGCCACCCAGGCGCCCCGAAAAACAAAATTTTTTAAGAGGAAATTTAAAATCACCTGCAACCCAGAACTGTATGGCATACTACCTTATATTTTTTAGTGTCATGTTTTATTTTAAAACATGTAGGATTTTTCTGGCTATATAAGTAATTGTGAAAATATAGAAAAGCTCAAAGACAAAATTTCATCATCATCCCACATCCTCCCAACAAGCACACAAAAAATCATTTGAAAGAGAATTCAGTGAGGTAGCTGACTCACAGTTAACTTACGGATAAATAAAACTCCCAGACATGTTCATTTAAATTACTACTTCCTATATCAAATACTGCTACACAATCTCCTACTTTGTTAAGTGTTGGAAAAGCAACGAGTACTAAATGACAAGGTACTAAATGTATTTTCCAAACTACAAAAATATATCAAAGGTCTATTACTGTGCCTTGAAGTAGACTCAATATTTGCTGATCTGAGCTATCCCCTTTCACATTCTAACTTCTCTCACATTTCTCTCTCACTTCGATCTTATCTCAACCTCCCACATTTATATATATATGCTTATAAATGACCTTAAATTCATCTTTGCAATCGGAGTATAAACAGGTGGATAGATGATAGAGAACAGAAAGATTTTTTTTAAGCAGATAGATATCCTGAAAGAAAAATAATTATTGTTTTCAAGATTTTATTTCAGTACTTGGAAAATGTCAAACATTTTATCCATCAGGTGGAACATAAAGTACAAGCAATAGTCTACAAAAAGTAATGCGTTATTGAGCCCAATTCACATCATCCTTGAAGCAGCAATGCATAAACATATACTGCCCAAAGTAGCATTATCCAAAAGTGGAGAACCAAAGAAAGAGGAAAAATTTACAAAACATCGAGATTTAACATGTGCTTTGGCCCACTCAAAAAAGAACTGTGGTTCTCAAAGCACATACCTGCACCCTATCTTCCAATTGGTTCTTCCAGCCAATTCACAGGAATTACTCTAAATTGAGTCTCTGTATGTTTTGTGGTGAGAGAGTTTCCATTCCTCCCGATATTTGCACTCCAACAGAAACCAATGCCCTGAGCTGGCTGCTTGCTCTTTAAGGCCTAGGAAATCTGATCGTGCTGCCATCTTCAAGGAGAATGCAAGAAGGGACGCTGTGACAGTGTGCTAGTCTCAGGTTCTGGTCACACATGAAAGTATGCCATGGTCCCCAGAAAACCCATCAGCCATCAGAAAAAGCAGCTTTTCCCTTCTCCACACGTTCATACAAACGTCCGCATATATGTGTACTTAACCACGTTCATCATCTCATGGCTAGTATATAGTGCTGGGAAGGAGGCTTTTTTTTTTTAAGATTCTATTTATTTATTGACAGAGAGGTAGAGAGAGAGCACAAGTAGGCAGAGCAGCAGGGAGAGGGAGAGGGAGAAGCAGGCTCTCTGAGGAGCAGGGAGCCCAATGCGGGGCTCGATCCCAGGACCCTGGGATCATGACCTGAGCCAAAGGCAGACGCTTAATGACTGAGCCACCCAGGCGCCCCTTGGAAGGAGCTTTTATCCGAGGCAGTTATCCATATTATGGAATGTGTTACTGACAACTCAAAGGAGAACACTGGTTCCACGATTATATTCTATCTTATAAAGTGAAAATATTTTGTCGTAGTTGCTGTGTTTTATATTTGGTTCCAAGATGATTTTCCATCTTGAATCTATCATGACCTTCCATTAGCAAAATATATGTTTCATGTACAATACACAATATTTCTGTAAGCAAATTAGATAAAATAGAAAACACATTAAAAGATATCATTCGAAAGTTAAATGGAATCAAAAACTAATGATGTAATGTATGGTGATTAACATAACAATAAAAAATTATTTTTTAAAAAAAAAGGAAGTTAAATGGAATTCAGAATGTTAGACGCACTCCTACTGAAGATGATTTGACTATATAATATGGTGATTCAGACTTAACATCTGTATTTAAACTCTTTGAGGAAATGATTTGACGAAGACAGTTTTATCATCTGGAATCTTGTTGAAAAAGTAAAAGAGACGTTTTTACCCTGGGAAAAGCTGCATGTGACAGCAGCCGCCATCTTCCGAGGACACGCCCCACCCTGCCAGACGTCTTTTTCACAAAGCAGTATGTTTTCTTCATCTCCTCGGCAACGGACATGGCTCCAATAAATGGGAAGAAGGCCCAGTCCAGAAAACGGGGTTTGTTTTGCAACTCCTTTTCGTCTGGAAACACAATGATCGAGGTTAGGTTTATTGAATATAGGTGAATTTTTTGTCAAAGTATTTAGATTTTTTTAAATGGAAGAAATCAATAAAGACAGATGTGGAAGGAAAAAAAATATAACGAGCTGCATAAGTTTCAAGGAAATCAAAACATCAGATCAGAACTTGGGTTGGTTACCTACGGCAATCTTTTTAATCAGTCTTAAATAACTAATGGTATGCATGTGCCTTTCCTACCTCTGACTGATTTTAGGGAAAAAAATATATATGGGCAAATACTACAGATTTAAAAAAGAAGCTGGTGGTTTTGTGAAAGAAGTGTGTCATGTGGCTCAGTGAGACATGGATTCTAGTCTGGACTCAGCTGCAAATTACTCTAAGCTGCAATTTTCTGTAAGCTCTGCCTTCTGCTGTCTAAAAGGAAGGGTGGTCTGGATGCTTGATGAGATTTTAGGCTAGCATTTTCTTTCTTTTTTTAAATATTTTTTTAAGATTTTATTTATTCATTTGAGAGAGAGAGAGAAAAGCAGGGGGAAGGGCAGAGGGAGAAGCAGACTCCCCGATGAGCAGGGAGCCTGACTCAGGGATCAATCTCAGGACCCTGAGATCATCATCTGAGCTGAGATCAAGTCAGACGCTTAACCAACTGAGCTACCCCGGCGCCCCTAGGCTAGCATTTTCAAAATGATTCCTACTACATATAAGTAAGATAATATCAAGAGAGGCAATCCATTCACAAAATTTTTAAAACCTTATATATAGTATTTGCTAGCAAGACTTTGAAACCAATTAATAAAATGGTAACATGCAGATGGGCTCTGCTTTTAACTCATCTAATCTACATATTTTATAAGTAACCTCTGATATGTACGAATTGATATTAAGTTTTAAAAATATTAAAGGCTTATCTGATTAACATGGTAAACTCTAGAATTGTCTCCATACAACAGCTTCCACCATCAACCAAACAGTAAACATTTGGGATATATCTAAAATATGAACATGTCTTAACAGCAATAATTCTGAGCTGCTCTGATCTAATTATATAATACTTTTTTTTTTTAATGGACTACTAAAAAATAAAAATAAATAAAAACGAGGGGTGCCTGGCTGGCTCAGTCAGAGGGCACGGGACTCTTGATCTCTGGGTCAGGAATTTGAGCCCCACGTTTCATTGGGTGTAGAGAATACTTAAAAAAAAAAAGTATCAACTAAGAGATGATATAAGTAATCAGATCAGTTTACCTGAAGTTTCTGTTTGCAGGATCATAGTTTATATTCTTTCATCAACCAAAAGACTAGCAGTTCACATCTCCACTATAGTGTTTTGGTTTTTTATGTCAGAGTCTCATAGGAAATCGTATTCTTCCCTGATTTTCAGGGGTAATAAAAGCACATATAAATGCATATTTTAAGGAAGACACTGACACCAGTCTACAAATTTGTTACACATTAAGACCCTCACCAATGACTATTTGCCAGACAAAATATTCATTGATCAAATCAGTAATTAACATTCCCAAACACCATAACACTTTGTAGGCTGGATAGCCTTATTCCTTCTTTCATCCAGACTTACATCCACACTCACTTTTAAAAATTAGTTAATTCATTAAGTACATTAAGCCTATTTGCTGCTCTAACAGCATCAAAAGTCTGAACAAAACTTAAGCCTTCAGAAGGGCTTGTCTTTATTAAGTATTTATTGCCCACCTTCCTAACAAGAAGACGGGAGGAAGAGGACAAATTAAAGTTCTTACTGATCTGACTGCAGTTGACCAACCTTTTCGTTTCTATCATCCTATTAGATATTACCACTCACTGATTATTAATCCGAAATATTTGTAAACTGCAAAACTTTTTTCAGTCTTTTGGAACTGCCTGTTCATAACGAGATAGTTTCCATGCTTTCTAAAGATCTCTAGTGAGAGAGGCCAAGAAAAACATCTGGCAAGTGCACTTACAAAAAATAAAATAAATAAACGAGACAAAAACAGAACAATAAGAACAACCACAAAAGCAAAATCTTTTGTTCCAAAATGGAGCCTTCCGCTCCCGGGGAAGCCCCCTGGCACTTGGCATAAAGGCGCCGGGCCTGGTGGCAAGTAGTGAGTACCGACTGTGTACAGAGTGTGCTCAGAGCTGCAGGGAAGCCGCGGGCCGCGGCGGGCCCGCTAGCCGGGCCTCCTGAGCACGGAAGCGCCAGGCCTGGACACCACGCCTTTCCCCTCTCGGAATGAGAGCGGGGGTGAACGTCGCCTCCTTCCCGCACAAAAAGGTGGAAGTTGTGGACCGCTACAAGTAGCCGCCGAGATGCAAATGACGCTACCGAGAAATGACAATCCTCGGAAGCCCGTTCCTGGCTTCCTAGGACTAAAGGATGATTTTTTAAAGACAAAGACCAAAGGACGCTTTTAACGTCAGACCACTGGGCATTTGCTTATTTCCTGGTCAGCATTCCTTCCCCATGGGGCCCTTTCTTTATAACTCTTGTGGAAAGTGAGAATGAGGGAGGTGAGACAAGAGGAAGGAAGATGCGCGACATCTTTCCATTGCAGTGACGGGTGCCCGCCATTACTTTCCGGTATCAGCAGCCTGGTTTGGGCAAGGATGGGCGAACTCACCCCAGCTGCAGCTGGTGACAAATGACTGAGGCGTCCGAATCATCCCAGTGGCTGCCACACACTGTGCCCCAAGCTCCATTTGCGTATATTTCCACGGCGCCTTCAAACTCGTGTTTGCCACCTCGAAGCCGCACTGACCCTGAAGTAGAAAAGAATCCCAAAACCCTTTAATAGAAATAACCATTTGAACATACTGAGCCTGTCCTCAGTTGACATGATTTTTCCACATAAGCAGTGAGAGATCCAGCCAGAACGATTTGACCTCCATTTTGACAGCACATGCTTCTTTGTTTAAATGAGGATTTTGCAGATTTGATTTGATTTGATTTGATTTGATTTGATTTGATTTTGGTCATTAACATCATGGTGTCCACACTAATTGTGCTTTCTTTTTTAGTTAAGCAAATAGCAAGTCCAATTATATTTTTTTTAATTTTATTTTATTATGTTATGTTACTCACCATACATTACATCATTAGTTTTTGATGTAGTGTTCCATGATTCATTGTTCGCGTATAACACCCAGTGCTCCATGCAGTACGTGCCCTCTTTAATACCCATCACCAGGCTAACCCACCCCCTGACCCCCCTCCACTCTAGAACCCTCAGTTTGTTTCTCAGAGTCCATCATCTCTCATGGTTTGTCTCCCCCTCCGATTCCCCCCCTTCATTTTTCCCTTCCTGCTATCTTTTTTTTTTTTTTAACATATAATGTATTATTTGTTTCAGAGGTACGGGTCTGTGGTTCAGCAGTCTTACACAATTCACAGCGCTCACCATAGCACATACCCTCCCCAATGTCTATCACCCAGCCACTCCATCCCTCCCACCCCCACCACTCCAGCAACCCTGTTTCCTGAGATTAAGAATTCCTCATATCAGTGAAATCATATGATACATGTCTTTCTCTGATTGACTTATTTCGCTTAGCATAATACCCTCCAATTCCATCCACGTCGTTGTAAGTGGCAAGATTTCGTTTTTTTTTTTTTTTGGATGGCTGCATAATATCCCATTGTATATATATACCACCTCTTCTTTCTCCATTCATCTGTTGATGGACATCTTGGCTCTTTCCATAGTTTGGCTATTGTGGACATTGCTGCTATAAACATCAGGGTGCGTGTACGCCTTCGGATCCCTACATTTGTATCTTTGGGGTAAATACCCACTGGTGCAATTGCTGGGTCGTGCGGTAGCTCTATTTTCAACTTTTTGAGGAACCTCCATACTGTTTTCCAGAGTGGCTGCACCAGCTTGCATTCCCACCAACAGTGTAGGAGGGTTCCCCTTTCTCCGCATCCTCGCCAACATCTGTTGTTTCCTGACTTGTTATGTGGAAAACCCAAAAGGCTCCACCCCAAAACTGCTAGAACTCATACAGGAATTCAGTAAAGTGGCAGGATATAAAATCAATGCACAGAAATCAGTGGCATTCTATACACCAACAACAAGACAGAAGAAAGAGAAATTAAGGAGTTGATCCCATTTACAATTGCACCCAAAACCATAAGATACCTAGGAATAAATCTAACCAAAGAGGCAAAGAATCTGTACTCAGAAAACTATAAAATACTCATGAAAGAAATTGAGGAAGACACAAAGAAATGGAAAAACATTCCATGCTCATGGATTGGAAGAACAAATATTGTGAAGATGTCAATGCTACCTAGAGCAATCTACACATTTAATGCAATCCCTATCAAAATACCATCCACTTTTTTCAAAGAAATGGAACAAATAATCCTAACATTTGTATGGAACCAGAAAAGACCCCGAATAGCCAGAGGAATGTTGAAAAAGAAAAGCAAAGCTGGTGGCATCACAATTCCAGACTTCAAGCTCTATTACAAATCTGTAATCATCAATTGTATTTTAAAAGGGGAAAAGTGCAAGAGTGTGACTCATGTCTGATATTACATCCCAAATATTAGATGATATCATGCAAAATTCTTATCATGTATTTATCACCTTCCACTTCACCTGAGGTCAGAGATAAGAAGCACAGAAACAAAATTCAGTGCTGTACTTATAAATTAGCTGTTATTGACTGTGTTACATATTCCTTCCAGCTGATTTATTCACCACAAAAGAGCAAAATGCTTTTTCTCTTTTTAACCTCAAGCGGTAGTCATGAAATTCTAAAGATTATAATTTCAAAAAGGTGTTGGTGTTGATGACGTTGCCTAATGTCAGTCTTGGGAAAATTCCCACCAAGTAGAATTGTTTGGTTTAATTGATTGCCCCTGGAAATTCGCTTCCCCTTACATATCATCCTCACTTAGCTGCTCCAGGGTCCATGATTTGAGTCATTCTTTTCAGTCTTGAAAAGAGTCAAAATTAAAATGCAAACACCCCTGAGGGAGGGGGGGAATAACATCCCTTAAGTGCAGGCAGATTGAGGCCCTACACTTCCCTTCTTATTAGTAAGGTTTGCAGAGTGACTACTAGGAGGCCACAAGCAGGACACTGAAGCAGAGACAAAGCAAACTCGGACAGCTGAAGAATTTCACAAAACTCTGTTAAAAGTCACTTATGATGGCCTTCATTTCATAGGTAAAGAAGTTAAGAAAGTTAAGTTCTACCAAAAAATTCCATCAGATATTGCATATTTCAGTTATTTCAAAGTCTGGCTTTAAAATAATTTTCCAAAATATTAGATTCACAAATTACCCATTCATTTCACTTGCACTGGCCTAGGCATCTATCATTTTCCAAGTCATCATCATTTAAAAATGTAACTATTTAGGAAACACATATTGTTTGTCTCAAGACAAACACAAAGTGTCATTTAATTCAAAGAAAAGAATAATAAATGGAAGCAAAACATTATACTGCCAAATCCTGATTATTTAGGAGAGAGCATGGGCATGGATCATTCACATAGCAGATAAATCTCAAACTCATTCATACTTTCCAAACCTCTTTAATTTAGACTAAGCCAGAGGAAGCCCTGTTTAGCTCAATGAAAAGCGTGAACTGCAAAACATTTTTTAAAAAAGATTTTATTTATCTATTTTACAGAGAAAGAGAGAGCAAGAGAGAGAGCACACAAGCAGGGGGAGTAGTAGAGGGAGAGAAAGAAACAGGCTCTCCACTGAGCAGGGAGCCTGACACGGGGCTCAATCCCAGGATCCTGGGATCAGGAGCTGAGCCAAAGGCAGATGCCCAACCGACTAAGCCACCCAGGCACCCCTGCAAAAACATTTTTAAAGAAATAAGTCTGAAGAGTTTAACTGAACTTATTGATTTTTTAACCACAAAATCTCTTCTATAGAAACCTACATAATATCATGAATATCGCAAATGCCAGCATTTTATTTCAACTCAAAAAAATAATTTGTTCACCTCAAACAAACATTACTTGAAATGGTATTTAAATTAATCTAGGGGTGCCTGGGTGGCTCAGTCGTTGGGCGTCTGCCTTCAGTTCGGGTCGTGATCCCAGAGTCCTGGGATCGAGCCCCACATCAGGCTCCCTGCTCTGTGGGGAGCCTGCTTCTCCCTCTCCCACTCCCCCTGCTTGTGTTCCCTCACTCGCTGTGTCTCTCTCTGTCAAATAAATAAATAAAATCTTTTAAAAAAATAAATTAATCTATTATCTCTTTATTAATCCCCCTCCTCCAAATTACTCATGTCAAAGGGTTGGAAGAAAGTTCTAGTAATGAAACAAACTAGAACACTACTTATGCATGTTAAAAAATCATAATAAAATGCAAAATACTGCCTAGATCACCAAAAAGCTATCAAGAAGAAATGATGCATGTATATCATCTAAATGATTAAGGCATTTGGAGATAAGGCATAGAAAACTCTGCATAAAGTATAATTACTACCCTTGCATCATGATAATGGCAATGACAGAGCTGGAAATAGTTTCCAGGTGAATTATCAACTCCACCATCGTTTCTCAGATTCTCCAAACATGCTCTGAAAGCCTGGATTCATTTAGCTGTTTCTGCTATATGGCAAGAAATGTGGAGTGCTCATCCAATTTTCCTTTAACAAATAAATACAAATATTTACAATTCTGTAAAGTCGATTTGCATGTCAATGACTAATGAATTCTCTGTCCGAATCCATTCCATCACCAACATCCCCAACTCACACATCTTCCTAGTAGTGCTCCACTCTCCACCCCCACTTAGTTTATGACCTTCTCATAAGGTCATAAAAATTTTTAACATATTCTGGGAAATTACCTACTCTGGACTCAGAGTGAGTAGTTCTTAATGGGAGATAATTCTAGGTAGTGCATAATTCTTCAAATAATTATTTGAAAGAGCACTTTAAAAAATATCAGAATAACATGCTCCAAAATAATAAAAGTTTGAACACACAATTTACACTACATTTAAGACACGTGGCAGTTTTTATTTGGTTTTGGTTTTACTTTGCTCTTGCTTCATTTATTTTCTTAGAACGGTCAAGATGGTCAAAACCTTAAAAACTGTAACTCATTTCCCTCAGTTTATGGATGAGGAAGATTTGGACCAAATCAACTGCCATGACCACCTATTTCCTAGTTGCCCACCCTTCCCACTGTTCCTCTGTCTCTAAGTTATCTCCCAGATTCCTGTCCCTGCTACCGTCCCACCTCTGAACCCGAGCAAAGACCCCGCGATGTCTTTGCATTTTATGTCTTTTTTGTGTCTATGCACTTATATTCTTTGCATAATGCACTTTATGCATTATGTCACGTGGCTTTTACCATTCTATGTGAAATATTCTATTTGAAATACTGCAACTAATCTACCTAACATTTTTCGGGAATAAATAGCCAGGCAGAAGGGTCAGACAGCCTGAAGAGGTTTTACGCCCTGCAAACAGGAGAGAAGGGACAACTCTCTTGTGATCTACATTGGAGGCTGACCCTCCAGTGGAGGAGTCCCATGGGTTGCACAAATTTGTAGGAGCACTATACATTTGCACAAATTTACAGGTGCACAATTACAAAGTGAAGGGAGGGAAATACCCTTAGCTCAATTTTTAAAAAAGAATAGGATGAAACAGTGAAGCACTCCACAAAAGGTCAAAGCCTGGTAAACTCATTTATATTGCTAAAGTAATAGTAAAGCTCTTTTATTATCAAAAATTGATCCCTCGGGGTGCCTGGGTGGCTCAGTCGTTAAGCATCTG